CTGCGATGCAGGAGACCCATGTTCGATCCCTGGGTGGGAAAGATCCCCTGGAGAAGGAAATGGCAACCCACTCCAGTATTCTTGCCTGGAGAATTACACAGACAAAAGAGCCTGGCAGGCTATAGTCCATGGGGTCACAAAGAGTCAGACACAAACTGAGCAACTATCACTCACTCACACTGTCTGTGAATATCTTAATCAGATCCTGTACTTAATCAGATCATGTTACTTCTATTACTGTCATCAGATCATGATGTTCTCAAAGGCATTAGGTCTCCTTAAAGTGCCTTCACATATCTCTGCTCTGATTGTGTTCATTCTAAACTTTCACTCTCAAATGATAGACTGTATTGATTTTAATGTTTAATTATCAAGGGACAATTCTCTTATTGCTAATTTATTATTCAGTCAACAAATATTTTTATGGTGCATCTACTATATGCCAAGCCCTTGGTACTTGCTAGGAATAGCTGGCGTAAGCAACACAGGCAAAATCTCAGCTCTCAAGAAGCTGACAACCTATCGCAGGAGTTTTCAAATTCTTGGGGTCACTTCACATTTGTCTCCAGATATTGATAATCCCCACATCCAAAATGCTATTTTAAGCCATTTAACAATAACATTAGAAAAACAGTCATTCAGTGGCTCACAAAGAAAACACAGAGCATCTTCTATCAAACAGTTATCACTGCTTCCTAGCAGTGGGTTCCAGCACTGAACCCCAAAATGAAATAAAAAAGAAGCCCATTATACATAAGTCAATGTACACCTGGGGTTCTCCCAGAGATGAAGAAACTGCTAAGGAACGGGGATAAGTTAAGAGCTGCAGAGCTGCTTTATTTTGGTTAGTTTTTCAAGAATAATTTCTATAATCCATGAACTAAAGACAACAACAATCAGAACGCATTTTATCACGGAAAACTTAAAAGAGCTCAGGTAAAAACCAAACAAATTCATAAGTAGATAAATACTGATTCAGGCTACCAACAACAGGACTTTGCTGCTATTGTCTTGTTGTTGCTTTTTCAAATAAGGTCTACCCCGCCCCCCTTATGAAAAGAGTTAACATGGACCCTGGAAAACACAGAGAAGAATCAGTATCAAGAGTAACAACCAGTGGGGAGGGCTATGCTGTGCATCCCTTCACTCCCGCTGCAGGGAGATGGCTCAGCAACTTCTCCGAAGGAGGTTCCTGACCTCTGTCATCTCCGGAAGCCCTCTCAGTCGGTGGGCAGCCCTTACCTCCAGGGCACTGGAGGTCCCAACAGCAGTCCTAGTAACCTAACAGGAACACCCAGCCACGCCTGGTCGATGGACACCACCAGTGTCTGTACAAACTCTAACATCCAGGATGGACCTGACTTTCAAGACTGAGCTGTCAGCAGGGAGACATCAGTGGTTGTGGATTTCCACGCACAGTGGTGTGGTCCCTGCGAGATCTGGGGGCCAAGGTTAGAGAAAGTGGTAACCAAGCAGCAAGGGAAGGAGGTGATGACCTAGGTGGATACTGATGACCACACAGACCTCGCCGTAGAGTAGGCTAACACGGCCATGAAGAACGGGGATGTGGTGGACAAGTTTGTGGACATCAAATGATGAGGACGAGGTGGAGACCTTCCTGAAGAAGCTGACCGGCTGACAAGCGGAAAGCATCCTGACTGCCCCTGCCCACCTGGGCCCCACAGTCCCAGGGGAACCCTGATACAACTCACAGCCTTTCTTTGCTGGCCCTTCCCACCTCCTCCCTCTGTCTGGCCCCAAGCTTTGGAGACCAAGCCTCCAAACACAGTGGCCAGGGTGGCCACCTGGGGGACAGGGCTGCTGCCCAGCTGAGAGAGTCGTCTCCCCACCAGCCCCCAACCCCGGCTCTGTCTGCTCCCTCCAGGGCTTTTGGCTCTGCGCTAAGGATGCTGGGACACAGCCCTGGGGCCAGCCGGCAATAACGGTTTAAGTCCTGTCTCCCTGTTCCCTTCTGATCTGAACACTGGTGCCTGGCTCATTTGCCTCCTGCATTTTCCTTTCCTGCTGCTGTTTTGTAAAAAGACAAAGAAGGAAAAAGAAACCCAAACAAGTGAGAATAAAATATATAATTCTCTCATTTTTCATAGGTCTGTAATAAAGAACTTTATGTGATCCTTCTATTGCCCACTGTGAATAACAGACCCTGGGCCGTGTACTACACGACCCTGTATCCACACCCCCACCTCTCCTGCAGAGAGCCACCTCCCTCTTTTCTCCCAAGTGCCAGGGCAGCAAACATGTGTTGGGCTGAGGGTATCCTGCAAACCCTTGACTCTGCAAGGCTCAAGACACTACTCTCCCTCACCATTAGCTGGCGCTTTGGTTCTCTGTGGCTTCACTGAAAAACTGGACCAATAAAGCTAGGATTTACACTGTTAAAAAAAAAATTTTTTTTTTTAAAAGAGAGACAATAATTCCACTACTCAAATATACATATATATACATATATATATATATATATCTTGTTTCAGACTTTCTGTTATACAAAAATACTTCTCTTTTCACAAAACTGACACCAATTTTGAACATGAATATGCAATTGTGTATCATGTTTTTTCATGCTTAACACCAGGAGCATTTTCCATGTACTTGTTCTTCTAAAATGTAAATTTTTAAGTCAGATAATATTTCACCATGTGGACATGCCATAATTTCACCACACTCCCATTGTGGGGCAGGTAGCAGTAATGTTTTCCAACACAGAATAAATGAGTGTGGATGAATGCTCTCATTCACAACCATCTAAATATGCCCTTGAGGTAAATTCCTAAAAGGGGAATTACTAAGTCAAAGAACATGAACTTTTTAAGGATCCTGATTTATGTCAAAAAGTTCTCTATTCAACTCTCCAGCACAACAGGAGAGTAACCACATCACCCCTTGGCAGCACTAGATATTTCTACTTTGATTTTCATCAATATGATAGGTTAAAAAGGATTTCTCATTTTACCCTGCAGCTCTCTGGTCAGTAATGAGAATGAACATTTTTAAATGTTATAAATCATTTTAATTTCTTATTTATGATACTCTGTTTATGTCTATTATTCACTTTTGCTATTAGGACATTGTGCTTTTTAAAAAATTGATCTAAGAGCTCTGAGAAATTAAAACACACAACAAATCTATCTGTCATGTGTTGCCTGCATGTTCACTCAGTTTGAACACATAGGTCTTGGTTCTTCCATAGTAAAAGCTCCACACTTTTCTAAAATGGAACTGGTACAATCTAATTCCCATCAGAGCCACTCCTACCAAGTACCACCTCTTTACCTTTATACTCAATGTGCTCCTTAGGGTGCTGTTTTTAAGCACCAGGCTCGCCAGGGATACTAAAGACTAGCCCAATGAACCCACAGCACTCTGTTTAACTAACTAGCTTGGAAAATACAAAAAACACTCAGAAAAGCTTCTTCCTCCCCTATACTCAGAATCCCTCAAACAACAAGCTGTTTATTCTGGTTCAGGGCAAAAAAAGCTGCCTTTGGTCCTCCAAAAGATCACCTGTGGTTGGAAGGCAGCAAAGCAGAAGAAAAAGAGCATAAGCTCTAGAGTGGAAAAACCTGCATTTAGATTCCTGGCTCTGTTGTGCTCTTGCTGTGTAACCCTGGTCAAGTCATCTTGCTTCCCTGGGCCTCAATTTCCTAATTACAAAAATAAATTTAGGGATATCATAAAGATTAAATTAAATACATAATGTCTATAACCTGGGGTCTGGTATACAGTAGGTGCACGTCAAAAAATGTCATTTTCCTACTTTGATGATGCTAAATCAGTTACTTATTTAATTCAAATAACCTTACATAAAATGTTGACCTGAAATAACTAGCTGTCCCAGCAAAGCATCATCCGGGTAAAAAATATTTAGGTCAGCTTTCTGTCAACTGCAATTTCCACTGCTATAATTATGCAATCATCAACCACCACTGCAAGACAACAAAAACCTCAAAGTTGATGTCACTGAAATTGCTAAATACAGTAATTATTTGATTCTCAAGATCATGGCCACCAACTCCTTTTGGAAAGCAATAGAAATCTTGGTAATTATAGGATCAAAAGACTGATTAGTTGTCCCAGACAGTGGTTTCTACAAGAGAAGTCTTTTGGTCATTGCCCAGGACAGCAGCATATGCAGAAGTCATTCTCACTTCCATACTCTGAAAGGAACAATGTCAACAAAAGAACCAAAGGAAAAAAGACAGAAAAAAAAAGGGCTACTCTATGAAACTGAGCCTTTTTGGCACTTATTCCTGGCAAGAGGTAAGAGACTGGTGAAATAATCTCTAGAAGGAAATCATACTTTAAAAATCTATCAGCATAACCCCTTTCTATGGAAAAAGGTACATTTTCCTTCTAAGTATAGAAGGTAGATTCCATCAGGAAAGGAAAGAAAGCAAAGTATCACTTATGTTTATAGCACTGTACCACATGCTTTAATTACTTTATCTTTTAAATCAAGTTGTGAGGTAGGTCTTATCCTTCCTTACAGACAATAGGTTAACTTGCTCAAGGTTTTGTAGTTATTAAGTGGAAGAAACATCCAGCTCCCTAGGTCTAGCTTTGAAACCTTTATCTCTTCATTACATCTTCATGAAATCTCAAAATGATCATGTCAATTCTCTTTTATAAGAAAGAACCCAGGGACTTCCCTGGTGGTCCAGTGGTTAAGACTTTGCGCTTCCACTGCAGGTGGCACAGGTTCCATCCCTGGTCGGCGAACTAAGAATCCTGAATGCCACTTAGCAGCAAGCCAAAAAAAAAATTTTTTTTTTCAAAAATGAAAAAAAGAGAACGAACCCAATTTAAATTTTGGTCTAAAACAAAACAGACAAACAAGTAAACCCAACAAACTACATATTCACCAAAAGGGTGACCATTTCTATCAATTAGCTCTTCTGGCTCTTACTAGTCTTTAAAATGAACTGACATACTCATACAAAGTACCCTTTTTTAAAAATCTTAAATATTAAAGAAAATGGTACCTGTTGACAACCACAAAGCACTGAAGCAGAAGCAAATATAAAACAGGTACAAGCTTTTCAACTGCTTCACAGATGTCTGCCAACAAAATCTTGATAAAATCCAAGAAGCACAGCTTGGCTTGATTCCCAGCTTCTCCATGGCCTTCCAGACAGGCAGAACCAGTCCACTAGAAAGACAGAAAAAGAAGAAATTATATGCCAAGTAATTAATAATTGATTCCTCGAAATGCAGAGTTCTCGACAATGTGACAGATTAGGGAGAAGAGAAATTTCAAGTTTGTCTTTCACTGTTCATACCCGTCTATAACTCTCAAACCTGAGCTTTGACATAGCCTATAATTATCAGGATAAAAACATAGCAAGGGATATGAAATGAATCCACTGTAAAGCTGAAACACTTTATATTCCATTATTTTCTAATCTAACAGTTAATCATCTATGTGGAAGAGCGGAAAGTGCACGAGACTAAAAAAAAAAAAGATCTGAGTTTCAGTTCTAGTTCTGCCAACAGCTTTGTGGCTTTATCCAAATACTGTTTTTATCTATGAAAAGAGTTTGGAGCATCACAGGTAAAGTAATCTGAAGGTTTTTCTAGCTATGTTTTTAGAAAGCTTTAATGTGATTGTCATTAGGTAGGGCATGCATTCTCCAGTTTGCTATTGTCCCCACCACTCTTATCTTTAAAATCTATCCAGTTTATACTTTGATGTCACCTCCAGGATCCTTAGAATCATTAGCAATTCCTGACTTAAATTCATATATCCACTCAACAAGTATTTACACAACCCCTATTTTGTACTAGGCATCCAGATTCTAGGGGTTGAATGACAGGTCCCTTTCAGAAGAAAAAAATGACTTTCCATCAGTTTCTTCTTACACAACCTCCCTATATTGTATAAATTATTATATAAATGTTGGCAGCATTATGAGGGTTGACTGAGTTCTGAAGAAGCAATTCAAAAATCTTCTGTACTAAATATGCACCTGTCATGCAGCACATCTAGGAAATGGCACAGACTGACAACCCCCAACCCGAGCCCAGCACTGTCTGGGTTGGATATCAATATCAGGAAATAGACACACACACAGAACTGCAAAACTAAGGTACAGCCCACCCAACAAGAAGTTTTCACTGAGCCTTAAGCATCTGAAGGACTTCCTCTTTCTCATTCACTTCCATCCATTCCTATTTCTAGTGGTTTGTCATTGTATGTTAGGGGGCAGGGGACAGAAAGGTGTGCAGGTCAGACACATGCTCAAGGGATTATGAAGTGGAGCCTAAATTAGAAAGTATATCCAGCAACTTTTCTAGCCTCCCAAGAAGGAGAGAGTGAATGTGCATGTGAGTGTGTGTGTATGAATCTTACCCAACACATTACTGCCTACCACAAAAGGATTTTAAATTCAAGGTGACTCAACACCTGTCATCAATAGCGTGGCAGGTGGGCGACAGAAGCATAAAAGAAATGAATAGGCTTTGAAAATGGGAGTAATAAACACCACTGGATTGGCAAGCTGATTAGAAGGGCAAGGTCTCACAAACCGGGCAGAAGACAGAGGCGGTTATTTTCTTGTGAACTCCCAATCAGTCTTTCCTCTGAAACCTACAATTGCTTAAGGGCACAAATCACTGCTAGGGTCCAGTCAAAGCTTGCTGACCAGAGGCAGGAACAACAACACAACACTAAGATCCAAAGGGCATGTTACAGAATCAAAGGGAAACAGCCCAGGGAGAGAACACACACCCCCACAATACTTGACAAATGAAAATCTAGAAAAGCAAGCAAGAGTTCTGGCATTTAGGGCGTTACAAGTACACCCGAAATAAAAGCACTCTCTGTTGCAGCAGCTGTTCAGACAGAAGGGGGTAATGTTTACTTAATACTTCAGGTTGATGGGGGATGTATCATAGTTCAGTCTGTCAGCTACATACGTGGAACTCCATTTATGTACCCAGCGATAAGATGTTTGAACAACGACAGAGCACGTCTGAAACAGCCTATTCAGCTAGTATGAGTAATCAAGAATAAAGCTCTTTAAAAAAAAAAAGTCTCAGATATTTGGGAAAGTTACAGAACAGACTGCCATGAAAAGCTTTGCTTATATTTGCAGACATTGTTTTACAAATAGCTGGAAAAATGAACAGATTGTTCTGGGAGGTCGTCCTTCCAACTTGTTCCCTAGCTTCCAGTCTGTTAATCCGATCAGAGAGCTCGAGGAGACTCAGTTAATACTCTTCACTAACTGCATCTGTCGTCAATTGGGCACAAGCACTGTGAGGTGAATGGAAGCAAATCTTTCCTGGAATCTCGCCCGAGGTCTTTTCTCTCGACTTCTTCATTTCACCTTTGTGCTCACTGCAACCACCACAGGACCCCTCTGGGGGCATAATTTTCTGTGTCCTGAATAAGGCAGGTTTCACAACGTAATGTACAAGTAGTGCTCAGCCCCGCCCCCCTTATTCAGCATCAACGTGCCGTCTCGGTGGGGAGCACACACACCAGAGACAGTAACTAGGGGCGAGGAAGGAAGGAGGCCAGCAGCGTCTCGGGGCCGGTCTGTCTGTCCGTCAGGGGATGAAGGGAACAGCAGGACCAGGCCCTGGCCCCCCAAAAAACGGGCTTAGCCTGGGACTCCAGCTCCGCACCTGCAAAGCCAGAAGCAGCTGGCTGTCCTAGCCGGGCCAGGAGCGCCACCTCCGGGTCCCAACACCCGGCCAGCGCACCCCCAGAAATAGCCCGTCCCCGCTCGCCCCTCCCATGGGCTGGTGGTCCTCGGCCCGGCAGCCAGCCGCCCCCGGCCACCTACCGGGGCTCAGCGCCACACAGCGGGGCCCCGGCTCTCGGCGGCCTCCGCCTCCTCCCGGTCCATGGGGTCGGGGCCCCAACCTCCGCTCCCCTCACCCGGAGGAGGAGGAAAAGGAAGAAGCGAATGCGGGCTCCCCACCCGGACAGCTCGCTGTCGCCTCAGCCTCCCTGGACCGCGACGATAGCCGGAAACGCCGCCCCCTCCCACCTCCCGGGCTCAACCCGGAAACACACTCTCCAGGCTAAACAAGCCCTCCTGGCCCCCCGGAAGCTCAATTCTAGCCGCGAGCCCGCGTGGGAGGAGGGGCAGTGCTGGAGGGTGGAACTACGCACGAGCGAAGGAACCTGGGTCCCTAGGCTGTCGCCTCCCGCTCTCCAGAGGCGGTCTGCACCTTCGACCGCCCGGCGCGAGCCCCGGGCCCCAGACTCGGGCAATACCCACAAGCAAGATGGCGGCAGCGGCAGCACCCCCTACGGCTTAGCGCCCAGCCGTGCCATTGGCTGGAGCCTGGAGTGAGGTCGCCGCGGATTGGTCGAGAGCGCTGCGGGGGTGGGGGTGGAGCTGCAGCAGCCCGGAGCCTAGAGTGGGCAACGCGGCGTGAGCAGCGGCCCCAGGCTCCCGGAGCATCGAGCTCGGAGAAGACTTCGCCGCTCGGGGCCGCAGCCTGGTGAGCTCAGCCCCCTTCAGGCCCTCCCCTCCATCCCAGCCGGGGCCGCTCCAAGCCGGCGCGGATCGATGCCGACACACCCCGGGGACCCTATCGCGACATCACCGTGCCCTGTCGAGACTCCATTTTGTCACAGCCCTTCTCAATATATAGCTATATCTTTTTAAAAAAAAAATTTGCCCTGTCATCTTTGGGGGCTGTCCCATGTCGTGGTATTGCCGTGATCTCTCCGTGACATCACCGCGCCATCGTGAAGTGTGATCTCATCGCCGCCCTGTCGTGACTTCATCAATGTCGTGTTGTGACCTGGCTGCGGCGGGACAGGTGGTGACCGCCAGAAACCCTCCTCCCCTTCTCATCTCCCCATCTCAGCGGCCCCGCTTCGATTATCCGGCTTTTGGATTATCCGTTGTCCTGGGAGCCACCCGGGACCCCTTCTTGCTTCTCCAGCCCCTGCAGGCGTCCACAGGCTGGTAGCCGGATGGGGAGCGTGAGGAGAGGGAGCGCAAGGGGTTAATTCTGCTGCTGCTGCTTCTGCTGCTCTGCTGCTGCAGCTTCTGCCCGAGGGAGGGAAAGGAGAGGAGGCACGGAGCCTGCGGGGGCGACTGAGAGCCCTGGCTGGAGGGGTGGCGTCCCCAGAGGGCCTCTGAGCCTTCCCTGGGTCAGCGCCCTGCGCCCTCACTTCTACTGAAGCTTGTGTCCTGTGTCTTCTGAAGAAGGGAGGGGAAGGGAAACCTAGCATGCCCTTTTCCCTCATGTCAGCCTGAGTCCGGATAATCGAACTTCACCATGTATGTTTCCATTCCTCCGTCTGTCCTCACCACTCCTTCCTTGTACGTTTGGTGGAGGGAAACAAAACCTGGCCTTTGGTGCCGGGGGCAGCGGAGCCATGGGGCCAGCCCTTTCCCGCCCCCAGGAGACTGTTGAGGAGAGCTGTCCAACTGAGCAGCAGGATGCATGGTCCTTCTCTCCCACTTTTTGGAGGTGACCTTGGACCAGGGTCCCTTCTTCATCCCTGAGGACTTGAGGGTCCAGCCCCTTAAAGGGGCTCCCCCCAGGAGGTCAGTCCTGAGGAGTCCGTCCCTCCTGATCCTCCCCTCCCTCTGTGCTAGTCCCTCCCTCCCTCCTCCACTCCCACCCCCACCCCTCCTCTGCAGAGGGATGCTCAGTCCCTCTTGTGTTCACAGTTGGGCAAGGCGGGCATCATGGCCTCGGATTGCGAGCCAGCTCTGAACCAGGCAGAGAGCCGAAACCCCACCCTGGAGCGCTACCTGGGAGCCCTCCGTGAGGCCAAGAATGACAGCGAGCAGTTTGCAGCCCTGCTGCTAGTAAGGAACTGACTGACAGCTGGGAGGTGGGAAGGGCTGGGTGGTTGGGCCCTCTAGGAATGGGGTCAACAAGTCCCCAAGGATATATAGGTGCTGCTGGTAAACCTGGAGGCACCAAAGAAGGTCCAAGGCACCTACCTGTGGACTTATTTTTGCTCTCACCGCATATGGGAGCAAGGGGGAAATAAGAGTGAATAAAGCTTGTGGCCCTTAGGAACCTTGGAGGAGGCTGCCTGGGTCTGCTCTCTGGGGCGTCCCAGAGCAGATGGGAGCTGACTCATAGGGTAACAGCAGCAGGTAGTAACTAGTGCAGAATACTTGATGGCTGGGGATGCATGTTCTGGAGGTGGAGAGAGTCGCAGGACTGGAAGTGACTGGGAAAGGGTCCCTGGGGATGGCCAGAATGGGTATGTAGGTTGAGGATGAAGGAGCTGGTTTGGGGCTCAGCCCTGTTGGAGGAACCCAAGCTGGGGACAGAACAGGAGCTGCAGTGCTGGGAAGGGGGGGCTGGTGTGTGGGGGGTGAAGGGAGGAGGGAGTACAGCCTGCTTGTTTGCCATGGCAACAGGGAGAAGGCTCCAGAGTCAAGGGCTCACACTGCAGCAGAGGAGGTGTTTAGGTGAAATGTAAGGGGAAATGTTTTGACAGGCAGAGCGGCGAGACACAGGAGCCATTTCCCCTGAGAAGGTGGCGGGAATGCATGAGAGACTTCTCAAGGGAGTGATTAGAGAGGGACCCCAAGTCCTTGGAGAATTTTAAACACTGAGTTCCAACCTCTTGCAACTCAGATGTTGGGCATCTAGCTCAGACACCAAGAACTTTCCAGCTAACAGGGTAATGACATGGCAGAAAGAACAGTTGAGGAGGACTGGACCTCCCTTTTACAGGGACCCTAGAGGAGGGATCCCAGAGGTCACACTCGTCTGCCTCAGGGGAGAAGGAAGGAACTGGATAAGGTGATCTCTGGGAGGCTTCCTGACCCCAGAGTGAGTCCTGTTACATAACCTAGTCCTGCTAATGGTCCACCCCCAGAGTGCAGGGCACAGTCTTTGCAGCCCTTCCTTTCATCCTGCTGATCGCACATACCTCCCTCAGGTGACCAAGGCAGTCAAAGCAGGTGACATCGATGCCAAAACTCGGCGGCGGATCTTTGATGCCGTCGGTTTCACCTTCCCCAATCGACTCCTGACCACCAAGGAGGCGCCGGATGGCTGCCCCGACCACGTTCTCCGGGCCCTGGGCGTGGCCCTGCTGGCCTGCTTCTGCAGTGACCCTGAACTAGCCGCCCACCCCCAGGTCCTGAACAAGATCCCCATCCTTACCACCTTCCTCACAGCCCGGGGGGACCCTGATGATGCTGCCCGCCGTTCCATGGTTGATGACACCTACCAGTGCCTGACAGCCGTGGCAGGTACCCCCCGTGGGCCCCGACACCTCATTGCCGGAGGCACCGTGTCTGCCCTGTGTCAAGCGTACCTAGGGCACGGCTATGGCTTTGACCAGGCCCTGGCACTCCTGGTGGGGCTCCTGGCTGCTGCTGAGACACAGTGCTGGAAGGAGGCGGAGCCCGACCTGCTGGCTGTTTTGCGGGGCCTCAGCGAAGATTTCCAGAAAGCCGAGGATGCCAGCAAGTTTGAGCTCTGCCAGCTGCTGCCCCTCTTTCTGCCCCCAACAACCGTGCCCTCCGAGTGCCTCCGGGATCTACAGGCCGGGCTGGCACGCATCCTGGGCAGCAAGCTGAGCTCCTGGCAGCGCAACCCTGCCCTGAAGCTGGCCGCCCGCCTGGCACACGCCTGCGGCTCCGACTGGATCCCAGCGGGCAACTCCGGGAGCAAGTTCCTGGCCCTGCTGGTGAACCTGGCATGCGTGGAGGTGCGGCTGGCCCTGGAGGAGACGGGCACAGAGGTGAAAGAGGACGTGGTGACCGCCTGCTACGCCCTCATGGAGCTGGGGATCCAGGAATGCACCCGCTGTGAGCAGTCCCTGCTTAAGGAGCCTCAGAAGGTGCAGCTTGTGAGCATCATGAAGGAGGCCATCGGGGCTGTCATCCACTACCTGCAGCAGGTGAGGGTGGGGGGTGGGGTAGGCCATGGAGGGGGAGGGGGGCCTTGTGCAGCGGGGCGCCAGAGGCAAGGGAGAGGGGGAGGTGAAACCCCGCCCCTGGGTGCATGGCTGATCCTGCAGCACTCCAGGGAGTAGTGTGTGGCGAGCCTCCGTCTCCCTCCTCCCCCCGCCCCTCCCTGAGCCTCCACACAAGCACCACACCACACACCATATGTGCACTCACATCACAGTACACACACACACACACACACACACACAACACAGAAGCCTCCCACTCACAACCCTCCCCCCGATCCACACACACTGAAGTGAAGCAGTCTGTCCTGCTCAGGCTGCAGCGTTGTCTTACACACGTACACATACAGACGGGGGCCGGGCTGCTGGTTCCCGACCTCCCTGCCCGACTCCCATCTGATCACCTCCCCCAGCACCCCTCCCCGCTCCTGTCCGAGAGTCCAGCTCTCCTGTCCCACGGGGCTTCACTTAGAACTCTGGTCTCTGTAGTAGCCTGTTCCAGCCACTGACCTCAGCCCCCCGATCTCCCGCCTACCATGCCAAGCTCTCCCATGGTCTCATTCTTTCTGACTTAGCCCAAAGTGGGGCTTCTCTCCCACCACTCACACCACTGCCACCAGTGGGGGTGTTTTCTGGCCTCCCACCCCATACCTCCCACCTCCACGAGGTATGTGCGATCACCCCTGGTCAGAGCGGGGTGTTGCCCGAGACGGGGTGTTTATCTAGCCGTGGACCCGTGGGTGTCCTTCCCTTGAGCTGCTTTAGAGGTTGAGTGCCAGCGAGTTCAGGGCTATGTCCTCTGAAGTCCAGTTGGCTCAGCAGGCCTGCGCGGAGGGCCTGCTCTGTGCCAGGCCCCTGTTGAGTGAGCGTGTCCCAGCCATGTGCTGGGTTCTGGGCCCACAGGGCCGGCCTTTGCAGGGCTCGCAGGCCAGGATTTCCTTCTAGTTGTGTTATTCCTAGGCTGGCCGGCATGCTGGCCAGGCAGGGGAGGGTCTCTGGTTCTGCTCCATCTCAGGGAGGGTCCTTTGCTAACAGGTGGGGCCAGAGAAGCAGAAGGAGCCCTTTGTGTTTGCCTCCGTGCGGATCCTGGGTGCCTGGCTAGCCGAGGAGACCTCGTCCCTGCGCAAGGAGGTCTGCCAGCTGCTGCCCTTCCTCGTCCGCTATGCCAAGACCCTCTACGAGGAGGCCGAGGAAGCCAACGACCTTTCCCAGCAGGTGGCCACCCTGGCCATCTCCCCCACCACCCCTGGGCCCACCTGGCCCGGGGACGCACTCCGGTGAGTTTGTACTTACGGTCTGTTGAGCCAGAATGTTCTAAAGGAAGGGTTGTAACAGGGACACGTGCTCTCTCCCCGAACTCGGCTGTGCTGGGCTTCCTGACTGGGGCATGGGGTTTGGTATTATTTCTTTTTGGGGGAGTAGGGGGGGATTGTTCCCACAGGACACCTGGGCTTCCTAGTCTCACTTGCCAAGCCCAGACTGTTCTGTAGAGAGAGAACTCCTGTTTATTGAGCATCCGCTGCCTGCCAGGCATTTTATCTCACCCTTTACCAAACCTTGGTCCTCCCAGCACACTTAGGACAGGAGTCTCATCCGTGTCTTCAGGGTGAGAAAACAGACTCCTGGAGGTTAAAGTCACTTGCCCACACTCACAGCCCAGGTTTGAGCCCAGGCCTGTGTAACTCTGAAGTCTGCATTCTTTCTACAGTGCCTGCAAGGATATGTTCTCCTTCTCCCCGACTTCTGTTCCTCTTTGATGGGGTGCCCCCCAAAGGGAATCCTGGTGCCTTCATCTCACCCCTCACATTGCTGTCCCTTCTGCATGCCCAGGCTCCTCTTGCCCGGCTGGTGCCACCTGACCGTCGAGGACGGGCCCCGGGAGATCCTGATCAAGGAGGGAGCCCCCTCCCTTCTGTGCAAGTACTTCCTGCAGCAGTGGGAACTCACATCACCCGGCCACGACACCTCAGTCCTGCCCGACAGCGTGGAGATCGGCCTGCAGACCTGCTGCCACATTTTCCTCAACCTCGTGGTCACTGCACCAGGGCTGATCAAGTGAGGCCGGGGCGGAGGTTGGAGGAAGCAGGGACCCTGCCCAGACTTGCCTCCAGTCTCGGTCCCTTCCTCTGCTCCCCTGGGCCCGTGGGTTCCTGTTAACATTAGAATGAAAGGGCCTTAGGCTAGTGAGAGCCACCCCACACTGGGCTTTGGCATGTGTGGAACTCCCCCTGGGCATGTATGTCTGCCTGCTCCGGCCATAACCCAGTCTCTGCTCCCCAGATGCCGCAGACGGCCCACAGTTAACTGTCCACCATGCTGCCTAATCCCTTGCCAAACCCTGGCCTGGTGAAACTGGGAGCCCAGGTTGCCCCAGGGCTGTTCTGGGTCCACTCATCCCCTGCCTCCCGTCTTTGCCTCCCTTTCTCCCCAGGCGGGATGCCTGCTTCACTTCTCTGATGAACACCCTGATGGCATCGCTGCCTTCTCTAGTTCAGCAGCAGGGGAGGCTGCTTCTGGCTGCCAACGTGGCTACCCTGGGCCTCCTCATGGCCCGGCTCCTGAGCACCTCTCCAGGTAAGCCCCTGGGGACCCAGTCCGAACAGATGGAAGACCTGGGTGGAAGCAGAAGACCAGGCTGTGTTCTGGGCATAAGTCATCATTTTTCTGAAAATGGTTTTACAGAATTTTCCAATCAATCTCTGAAGTGCATCTCCATCCCCCGCCCCACCGCACCCTTCTTTCCCAAAGATAATAACATCTTCCTTCTAAAGACTTTGAAGGCAGGGCCTGGTGGGTGTAAGTACAGGCCTGCTCTCAGGCACAGGCATAAGCACCTGGAACCCCCAGCAGCCCGAGGAATCTGAATTCTGTGTTTTCAAGGTGGAGCCGCCCCCACCCAGGCCCTGAGTCAGAAACACGACTTCTCTCCATTGAGGTTTTTCTCCGCTCAGCGCTTCACCTCCCTCATGACAGGCTTCAGTGCTCTGTCAGCACGTCCCTCCCCGCCCCACACCTCACTCTGGCTGTGTGCGGGTGGGGGGCATCCGCTCCAGCCCCCTGCCGGCCCTCTGCGTCTCCCACTTTGGCCGTGGGTGTCTGCTTGGGTCCCTCTGTCCCCGCCTATCCTGTACCCCATCTGTCAGGTTGGAGGAGCTGCACAGATGCCTGGGAACAGGGTGTAATGAGCCCGTCCCCTCCGCAGCCTCTGTTCCCTGGGCGGGGGGGGGGGGTCCCCAGTAGGGAACCCAGCTGCTGGAAGAGGGGTATGCAAGTCCCAGCGGATCAGGAGCCGCACCCCACCCCACCCCACCCTCTAGCCCTGAGCTCCCTCAGATCCAGGCTGCATTTCCCAAGCTCCTGAGTAGAGCCCCAGGGCTGGTTAGCCTGACAGCCTCGGGAGAAGCTGCAGTGCAAGGGACACAGTAGCCCTGCAGGTCAGTGAGCCAAGCCGTGGTCCCCTCTGGCACCTTCTCCTGGCCTAAGGATCAGATTGCCGCACTGCCCTCATTGCTGAAGGGCTAGGCCCAGCAGAAGCTCCCATCACCACTCAGACCGTAGCAGGGTCCGACCACGAGGTAGAGTCCCAAGATTATTACATTTTCATTCTCATGACAAGAGTTCTAAGATTAGCACGATTGGCCCCGTTTTACCAGTGAAGAAACCAGACCCAGAAAGTGAATTACCTGAGGTCCCACCATGAAGGTAGGGTTTGAACCCAGGCAGCCTGACTCCAAGCTGCGCCTCGGAGGTTCCTAAGTGTGCTCATCAGGACGGGGGGAAGGGCAGGGGGTCCAGTGGGGCCGCCAGCCCCTCTGGTTCATGCCCCTCTTGCTGCTTGCCTTCCAGCTCTGCAGGGAACGCCCGCGTCCCGAGGTTTCTTCGCGGCCGCCATCCTCTTCCTGTCGCAATCCCACGTGGCCCGGGCCACGCCCGGCTCAGACCAGGCAGTGCTGGCCCTGTCCCCCGACTACGAGGGCGTCTGGGCGGACCTGCAGGAGCTGTGGTTCCTGGGCATGCAGGCCTTCACAGGCTGCGTGCCCCTGCTTCCCTGGCTGGCCCCCGCCGCCCTGCGCTCCCGCTGGCCCCAGGAGCTGCTTCAGTTGCTGGGCAGCGTCAGCCCCAACTCTGTCAAGCCTGAGATGGTGGCCGCCTATCAGGGCGTCCTGGTTGAGCTGGCTCGGGCCAACCGGCTGTGCCGGGAGGCTATGAGGCTGCAGGCCGGCGAGGAGACTGCCAGCCACTACCGCATGGCCGCCCTGGAGCAGTGCCTGGCCGAGCCCTGAGGGGGCATCCACTGGGGACAGACCTGGGGGTGGGCAGCGAGGGAAGGAGGGAGGAGGCATCTCCCCTGAAGCCCCCCAATTAGACCCCCCTCCCCAAACTTCCCCCCGAACACCCCAGCTTTCTGGCTTTTCCGAGGGGTGAGGGCATGGTGCCCACCCTTCAAGTGTAGGGAACTGCGTCACGCCCCCTGGGCCCACTCCGGGGCAGGGATTGGCTTGGAAATCAGTGTGGCTGTCCCCGCCAGGTCGGGGTGGTTAGCGCAGCCCCCAGGGAAGGGGGGCACCAGGTGTCATTTTGCCCAAATGGCTGGCTCCCTTGCAGGAGAGAGGCCCTCAAATGGGACAGGGCTGGCAGGAGCCGGCTGCCTCGGCCCACGTGCCCTGCCGGCCAGGGCGTGGGCTCCCCAAGACTGTGGTGCCCCTCTGGCCTCCCAGGTCCACGTCCTTTAAATTGGCCATTTGGTTCTTGCCCTTGGCCTCCTTGGGCAGAGAGCAGGCTCAGGCCGTTGACATCGCAGTTCTTCCTGTTAACTTCAGTGACCCAGGGTCTGAACTGCCTCAACCTTCCGGGGGAACCTGGGGCAGACAGGCCTGGTGGGGGGGTCAGGAAACCTCCTTCCACACGAGCTTCCTTGAGGGGACCCGGGAGCCCTCGGGCCCCAGTCTCTGAGCTTCTGTGTCGTGTTGCAGCAGAGTGACAGTTGGGGCTGGGGAGTTATTTATTTTGCTTGTCCTTATCCCTGCTTGGACTCCTGAGCACCTGATCCCTGTCCCCTCAGTGCCATCTGGCCTGGCTGGAGCCAGGAGCCGGAAGGATGCTTCCCCAGAATCCGCATGTTCCCCTAGTGACTGCACCCCATCGCCATCGTGGTGCCTGGGTCCACTCCCACCCCCGCTGACGACTGCTCTCTGCCAAGAGGCGCGACTGGCGGCTCCAGCAGGGACTACCTTTCTTACGAACCCAGGGGACCCCTACCCCAACCTGATCCCTTGCTCCCCTCTTCCCTCCCCCAGCGTTCTGTGATCGCCAAGTTCAAAGCTGTGCAATGTGGACACTCAATAAATGTTCATTGGTGACAAGACGGCTCCTGTGTGGTCTGTCCTGCACCTTCTTTCCTCTGGGCCCCAGCAGCTCACAGCACATGTGCCCTGCTAATCACAGTTCACAAGTGTCCTCTCATTCATTCCCCCCAAATATCCAATGAAGCAAGTGTCATCCCGATTCTGAAGAAACTGAGGTGCCGGGAGGTGATTTGCTCAAAATGTTGCAGCCAGTAAGTCCCAGAGCCAAGACTCCATGCAGGCCATCCAGCTTCTCAGCCCACACCCTTCAATGCCAGAGCAGGTGGCAAACTCATGTTGTTGTGGTGAGGCCTGGATGGGCAAGGGGAAACTTGTGCTCTTTTGTACAAATGAAGTGCTGCCTCTCCAGGTCAGCAGGTTGCTGCCAAGTTGGCCGTCACCTCCTCCAATGTTTAAAGAGAAGTCCAAAAATCTGTTTTTAATGTGAAATCTGATTTTGACTGTTGATGTTTTTAATTAAATCATCACTACCCCAACAGAACATCTGCAGGCCAAATGTGACTTCAGGCAGCCAGCTGTTCATTTCTGTCATGTGCCAAGTGAGAAGGGGAAAGATCTGAGAGCTTCAGTGGGGACTGGACTGGAGCACCCACTGCCTCACCAGGCCTGAACCAAAGCTGTAAGGCTGGAGCCAGACCAGTCCCAGGTCCACATTCTACAGACCCTTCCCCACCTAGGCCCTGAAGCCTACAAGCACGCATTGAGCCTTTTCTAAGCACCTACCTGTGGTTGGCTATGCATAGACAGCAAAATTGATTTATCTATTGGATGTACGCAAAGTAACATCCTTGAAATGGAGTCCCTGGAATCCCTGAAAAGTATGAAGTCAGACCCTGTCTGCCAAGCAGCTCAAAATCTAGAGGGGAAACAGACAAGGCAATGGGCAACTCCTAAAGACATAAGCAGTTGCTTCTATGAGGGGGTCTGTACAGTGTGGCTGGAATATGAGGTCACCTCAGCCTGGCTGAATCAGTCCAGGAAAATTCAGAGGAGCTATCTGTGGCGAGACCTGAGGGGAGAAGGAGCTTGCCAGATGGACAAACAGAAGAACAGAAGCTTGGGAACTGCAAGTAGGTCATTACTGCTACAGTGGGGAGTGTGACGTGGGGAGTGGTGGAAGATGAAGTTGGACCTGTGGGCAAGGACCAGATCTTACAAATTCTGGTGTGCCGTGCCAAGGAGCTTAGATGTGGGATCATGCTGAGGTGGTAGATTTTGGAGCAGATTGCGTGTGGTTCTGTTTGCGTTGTAGAAAGATGACTTTGGCTGCAAGAGGGATGACTGAGGCAGAGAACTTGGAGAGGAGGTAGTAAGTCTGAATTAAGCCGGTGGCCATGAAAGTGGAGAAAGTAAGTGCAATCGGTGTTAGTTAATTGGCTTGGTGATTAATTGGGAGTGAAGAGGGATGAAGAGAAAGGATGACTCCCAGGTTCCTGTTCTGGGCCAGTTGAGTGACTAATGGTGCCTTCACTGTCATGGGGAGAAAAACAGGTTTGTGCAAAATATAAACTCATCTTGGTAAGTGGTGAATTTGCCCTGCTGATATTCAGGGGCAAGTGTCTCTGCAGTCTGGAGCTTGGAGAGAGGCCTGGGCAAGTGACAGATTCAGGAGTTGTGGGATCAGCAGTCGTTAAAGTGATGGAGGTGACTGAGATCATCTGGGGAAGTGAAAAGCGAAGGGAAGGGCGCCCCAAAGCCACTGGCAACTGCCCCTGGTCCCTGCTCTCAAAATACTCTCCCTCGTGTGGTGAAGACAAATTCTGCAGAATGCCTCAAAATGCAAGGCGGACTGGAGTCTGTACTTTGGTGAGGGTTGGTCATAGAGTTCTTGACTCTGGAATGCGAGGAGGGCTAGGCTGCCAAGCAAGACCAAGTTTGCCCCTGGTAATCAATTTAGCAGCAAGGGAGAAAGGGGCACCTGAGCTGCAGTTGTGAGATCTGACCACCAGGTGGAGCCTAAGTATCTCCTTGTGCCTGATTTCCGCTACCCTGCACGCCACCAGGCCGAGAGCAGAAGGCTGTCAAAGGCGGGCTGGAGGGTGGCTGTGTTAACAATAAAGGAGGCAGGCCTGAGTCCTTTCTTAACATAAACTCCTATTCCAAACTCACTTTTTGAAAAGAGAGGGAAAGATTTGAGCCTTGGAGAAGAGCAATAGGGCTAGTACGCCAAATGTGAGTCTGTGTATGTTTGAACATGCATACCTGTGTGTCAATATATGTCCTGTGTCCCCATATCTGTGTGTTTCTCTTAAGTGTCTCTGTGCATGTTGTGTGCCCCATGTGTCTGCATATGGACCCTGTGCACATTCCAGGCCCCCATATGTGTGCATGTGTTGCAGAGAGTGGGCAACTGGCAATGCTCACCTCCATGCCTCAGAAAGTGGGGAGTCCCTTGGTCCTGAACAAGAAAGGGAATAGAGTCAGCAACCAGGAAACTTTAAGGAGCCCCCAAACAGCAAACCATGAAGAACATCCCTCTCCTCAGAAGCCATAAGCAAAATCACTCACTGATCATAATGTGACATCTCCACATTTTACCTGAGCTCTATGTCAGGTTACCCAGAGTCATGTTCACATGTGTGCATGCTCAGTAGTGTCTGACTCTTTTGCGACCCCACAGACTGCAGCCCACCAGGCTCCTCGATCCATGGAATTTTCCAGGTAAGAATACTGAGTGGGTCGCCATTTTCTACTCCAGGGGATCTTCCCGACCCATGGATCAAACCCGTGTCTCTTGCATGTCCTGCATTGACAGGAGGATTCTTTACCAGTGAGCCACCTGGGAAGACATATTCATTTATAAGGCTTCCTAAAGGATCCTAGGAATTGGCTGAGGAATTCATAGACTCATCCATTCATTCATTCATCATTTATTTAATAAGCCTTTACTGAGCACCTGCTATGTACCAAGCCCAGCGCTAAACTAGACATATTTTCTGTTTCATCTTTCTTCTTCTTGTAAACTGGTTCATGAGGCAGGAAAGGAAAATTAGTTGCAGCTGCAAAGAGCCTAAAATGATAATTACAGTGTTTCAATTTTTTTGTTCCCTGAAGATGGGCCATGAGGAGCCCCAGGAGAGTTTTCAGCCAGGAGGTAACATGGTCTAGTCACTATTGTTGAAGAAGAGATATGAAAGAAGACAGGAAATCAGTTTGAAGTAGGGGGTTGTTGCAATGGTCCAGGCAGTGGTTCCCAGGTTTTATTGTACTGCTGAGTCACCTCACAGGCTTATGGCTGGGTCCCTTGCCCAGAGTTCCTGATTCAGTAGGTCTGGGTGGGGTCTAAGAACTGACACTTCTAACAAGTTCCAGAAGTTGTAGGTGATGCTGGTTCAGAGACCACACTTTGAGAACAACTGGTCTAAAAGGAAGAGTATGGCAGCTTAAGATGCTGACAGAGGATGAAGAGAGATGTTTAAGAATTATAAATGATGATCCTCTATGAGGATTAGGGGCTTCCCTTGTGGCTCAGCTGGTAAAGAATCCACCTGCAATGCGGGAGACCTGGGTTCGATCCCTGGGTTGGGAAGATCCCCTGGAGAAGGGAAAGGCTACCGACTCCAGTAGCTTATGGAGGTGAGGGAAAGGACAGAGCCTGGGATGGCTCTTTTTAATTTGAAGGATGGCGGTGCCATTTACAGAGCTCTAGAACATTGGAGGAGAAGCAGGTTGGAGTTGGTGGTGGTGGTAGAGGAGATGTTTGACTGCAGTTTGGGTTTGGACGGTCTCAGCTGCAACAAGGTGTCCGGAGGGAATATCCAGTAGGCAATCACACCTATGGGTCTGGATTTCTAGTGAGAGATACAGACTGGAGATAACAAGTTTGGGAGATAACAACGAACAGGGAGTCATTAAAGTCTTGAAAGGGTATGAACTCACTAGTGAAGAGTGTAGCTAGGAAGAAAAGGTAGCAGCTACAACTCAGGATGAATAAGTGACCTTAAGGGTGTGGGTGAAAAGAAGGGAGATAGAAGAGAAGATTGAGAAAGGGTCAGAAAAGAGGAGAAATAAGCAAGAAAGAGTTGTCTTAAACTGCAAGGAAGTAAGGTGAGGAAAGCCACCGGGCAGGCAGCGTTTCTGGTCACTCTGGCCTTCCCAAGCCTCCCGAGGAGAGCAGGAGATGCCCAGGGCTGGCACAGGCATCATAAGTCTCACTGGTCCTGGACGTTTCTCAAAGGCGTCCACTGACCTGCATGCATGCGCTGTCACATGTACACCTGTCCTGGAGCCTGATGTCTAATGTCCTGTGGGGAAGAGGGCGTCTCACTACAGACCCCCACATCCATGTAGATTCACATACACACACTCCTGACTCCTTATCTGCCCTGGGCATGAGGTTGCAAAGCTGCCCAATTTTGCTTTCTCTACCACCTTAGCTGGTGGTTTCAGCTTCTGGAAAGTCCTTAGTGATGAAACTTTGGCTGTTTCTATCCTCCCCCTTCCCCTAAAGCCTCCCAGACTGAGATGACTCAGACCTGAGCTCTGCACGCAAGGTGTGCCTTCTGTGAAACGCCCCTCAGGTCTCCTTCACACACCTCCCATTCTCTATCTCCCTTTCTCCTCTAATCTAGCTCACTATTTCAATCTTTACTTCCTCATCTTCCACTTCATTAGAAAGGGGTCTAAGAAAACATCTAGTCCATCCTTCCCTCCCATACTGCTGTTGTTGACGTTGCAGAAATTGAGGTCAGAGAGGAAAGGGGGCTTACTCAGAATCACACAGTTCATCAGAGTTAGGACTTAATTCTAGGCACCTGAGTCTGAGGCAATACAGAATAGTGATTCTGAACACAGAAAGAGGTGAGAAGCTGACTCTTCCAGCTCTGCCACTTAACTAGCTCCTCGACCTTGGGCAAGTCATGTGGCTTCTATGTATCTCACATATCTCACCTGAGAAGAGGGGTGATAAGGGTTTCTATCTCATAGAGTTGTTGTGAGCATTAAATAACTCAATATTCATCAAGTATTTAGTGCAGAGTCTGACATAGTATGTAATAAGTTGTGATCATTTCTATTCAAACCTAGACAGCATATTAAAAAACAGAGACATCCCTTTGCCTACAAAGGTCTGTATAGTCAAAGCTATGGTTTTTGCAGTAGTCATGTACAGACATGAGAGCTAGACCATAAAGAAGGCTGATCGCTGAAGATGGATGCTTTCGAACAGTGGTGCTGGAGAATACTCTTGAGAGTCCCTTGGACTGCAAGGAGATCCAACCAGTCAATCCTACAGGAAATCAACCCTGACTATTAATTGGAAGGACTGATGCTAAAGCTGAAGCTCCATTACTTTGGCCACCTGATGTGAAGAGCCCATTCATTGAAAAAGACCCTGATGCTGGGAAAGACTGAGGGCAGAAGGGAGAAGTGGGTGATAGAGGATGAGATGATTGGATGGAATCATCCACACAATGAACATGCGTTTGAGCAAATTCCAGGAAACAGTGAAGGACAGGGAAACCAGGCAGGCTCCAGTTCATGGGACTGGGGAGCCGGATTCGAGTTAGCAGCTGAACAACATTTCTGCTCTGCCCTGCTCGGAGCATCTTCTTGCCATTTTTTTTTTCCTTTTTTAAAAATCTTTTTGGCAGTGCCACGTGGCATGTGGGATTTGAGTTCCCCAGCCAGGGATCTAACCCACACCCCCTGCCATGGAAGCACAAAATCTTAACCACTGGACTGCCAGGGAAGAGCCCAACTTTTTTTTTTTTAACACCTTCCATCTGCTTTCTTAATTCTCATCCCCCTTACCATTTCTCTCATTTTATTGTTCAGTCACTAAGTCATGTCTGACTCTGTGACCCCATGGACACCAAGATTCCCTGCCCTTCGTTATCTTCTAGAGTTTGCTCACACTCCCGTTCATGAAGTCAGTGATGCTATCTAACCGTCTCATCCTTTGCTGCCCCCTCTCATTTCCCTTTCTTTAATTCTTGTCCCTGTTCCTCAGGAAGGAAAGGCTGGGATTTGAAGTCAAGCAAAAGTGACTGCAGAGACTGGAACACGCGTGCCAGCCAGCCAGTGCCTGTCCTGGTAATATGCCAACACACAGCCCGTGCATGTCACGCATGTAAATGCAATGACAGCACATGGTCCACATGCTGTCAGTTACAGCTTCACTCAACATCCTCTGCCTATGACCCACCCACGCTCAATCAGCCCAGGACCTCAAGGCTCAGAAATACCCCGAACCCTACTCAGACTGAACTCATGCCCAATCCCAGGGCCAGGCAACTCTCTGCAGTTAGTTTGTGTCTCCAACTTCCTCAGACCCTGGCTAGGCATTGGGAGTTACCAGCTGGGGGAAGCCTGAGTAAAGTAAGCACCCTCAGAGGGGCTTTTATCCAGAAACAAGCAGAGAGGCTGTGATGGCCCCCAACTCTCACACACACACACACACACACACACAGACCCATGCACTGACATATGTTTGCACAGGAGCCAATGGGCTTGAGTCTGCAGCTCACAAACCTCTTCCACTTTCAGGACTGCCCACCTCACCCACAATGGGGTGAGGTGGTTAGAGAAAGGACTGATACCCATCTTACAGACGAGCAAGCTAAAGCCGAGGAAAGGCAGTGCTTTGCTCCAAAGGCAAAGATGGGGCCGAGCCAAAGCAAACTAAGGCCCTTGTGTCCCAACCTCGAATTCTTCTCTGTTTCAAGGTAGCTGGGAGCTTCGAGCCTAGAAGGCTCTCAGACCAGCGCGGATAGGAACCACGACCCTGTCCTCTCCAGGGGGTCGCGCCAAAGCCACGCCTCCTCTTGAGCAGTCACTGGGGAGCGGGGAGAATGCGGCCCTAGCGTGTCTCTTTAATGCGCGCCCCCGGAGGCCCCGCGCGCCCCCGCCACTATAACTGGTGTGCATGGAGCAAGCTGCCTTCAGAGGAAGAAGGGCGGGCGCTGGGCACCCGTTGACCGACTTTCCAAGTGCGATCAGCGCCCGTCCGACCCACATCCCGCCCCCATGGACCCGCCCGGGGACACCCACTGCTGAGGACCAGATGCCTGGCGGGCTCCGGGCTGGGTTGCACCCCGCCACCGTGCAGTGACCGCCCGGGGGTCCTGCAGGCTCCGCGCACCTCTTCCCGCCGCGCTCGCCGTCGGGCGAGGGCTCCGCAGCCGCCACGCCTCGCGCCCCGCGCTGCCCGACCCATGCTGGTGCACGCTTACTCCGCCATGGTGAGTAGTCTCGGGCACGGGGGCGTGCCCGGCCGGGGATCAGGCAGCCTGGGTGCTGGACCTTCCGTTCCGAGACTCCTACTCCAACGAAATCTCGGACGGAGGGGGCCACAGCGACTGCGCCCGCGGAGAACCGTGTGCACGGGACATCGCTGTCCCCAGCCCAAGGTTCCCGCGCCCACGGGTCGTTCAGAGATAGACCTCGGGCCCCGGGAGCGGGCAGGACGGCAGCCGGCCCCTCGGGAGCTGAGGAGGGTCCTTTCAACTGCCGCTGGATCGCCTGACGAGCCCCTTTCCTTCCCCAGGAGCGCCCCGACGGGCTGGGCGCAGCGGCGGGCGGAGCCCGCCTGTCCTCGCTGCCCCAGGCGGCCTACGGGCCGGCGCCGCCGCTGTGCCACACGCCCACCGCCGCCGACTTCCAGCCGCCTTACTTCCCGCCGCCCTACCCGCAGCCGCCGCTGCCATACGGCCAGGCGCCCGACGCCGCCGCCGCCTTTCCCCACCTGGCCGGGGACCCGTACGGCGGCCTGGCGCCCCTGGCGCAGCCACAGCCTCCGCAGGCCGCCTGGGCCGCGCCCCGCGCCGCCGCCCGCGCCCACGACGAGCCGCCCGGCCTGCTGGCGCCGCCCGCCCGCGCCCTGGGCCTCGACCCGCGCCGCGACTACGCCGCCGCTGCTGTGCCGCGGCTCCTGCAAGGCCTGACCGAGGGCGCGCACGGCCTGGCCGACGCGCCCCTCGGCCTCCCCGGGCTGGCGGCCCCGCCGGGCCTGGAGGACCTGCAGGTGAGGCCCGAACGGTCCTGGATGGGCCAGCATCCGCTGCGGTGACTTAGGACCTGGCGGGGGCAAAGAGCGGCCAATGCAGGAACCCGCCCGACTTTTCTCCCAGCCTACCGAGGACGCGCCCCACGTCCTGAGTTGGACGCTGCCTGGCCTTTCAGGCGGCCGGGCTCTGAGTCCGTGAGCCTGGGGTCTGGGTGGCGGCGACCCTTCGCCGAGTAAATGGACAGGGGCTGAACCACTCTGTCCCTCTCCGCTGGGCAATGCAGGGCATCTATGCCCACTCCTGGTCTACCGGGGCAGCCTGGGCCTGGAGCGAAGAGAGGCGGAGGAATTGCCTGAGGTTCAAAATTCTCTCTTTGAACTACACGGCGACGTTCCCAGGCCTCCAACTCGGCCGCAAATGCTGGAGCGCCGGTGAATCCTAGTCCCGCCCGAGGCCGCCGCAGGCGACGGGTGGTGCGCGTAGGGCGGAGCAGACAGTGCGAGGAGCGGGGACTGCAGGGGCTTGGAAAGCGACAAGAGACTCGAATCTACAAGCGCCCTTACCACTATCCTGTCCTATTTGCAGGCCATGGACGAGCCGGGAATGAGCCTCCTGGACCAGTCGGTGATCAAGAAAGGTAAGGAAGAATGGCGTGCAACTGCCAGGGCAGAACTGGGCGAGATGATGCAAGCCCTGGCACACAGACCCAACGTCTTCCCTAGGGCGCGTCCCTCCTGTGCATCGCCGAGCTCGGTGGCCACCGGTCACTCTTTCCGGCCCAGTAGAGGGGCTGCGGAGGCTGCAAGCCCGGGCAGCTGGGGTTGGTTGGTGACTTGGCCCCAGAGCCTGCCAGCCAGGGTGCCCCGGAAATCCGACCACGCTCACTTAGCCACCCTGGCGGCCAGGCCAGTGCAGGGGCCTGGCCTCTCCCTACCAAGGAGGAGGGCACTCTTTTAGATCTGGAGTTAATTTGCAGAACAAGTTAAACCACTTCCCTGTTTCCTAAGAGGTGGTAATAGGGGTGCTATTCCCATGGACGTCCTTAAATGATTTCCACTTTAGGGAGCCTTACCATTTCCTCGCCTGCTGGGTTCTTTCTGCCGCTCCCTTCCCAGCAGGGCCTCCAGAGTCTTGTGGTTTCCCTAGGGAATTTTCTCTCCACTGGGAGGGAGCTGGTCTGTGAATATTGTGTCAGGCCATGTGCAGGAGGGTCAGGGCCTGGTGTTGATGTCCATGTGAGTTTGCAGTCCTGTACATGTCTAAAATATTCCTTTCCCAGGTGTCTTTCTAGTATTTCTTGGTGTCTTTTGCTGTTGAGTGTGTAATGTGTGTCCGTCATGTTGGTGTAATTCCCATGCTTGTGGGGGTCAGGGTCCCTGTTGGGTCCAGGAACTTGTTTTTTGGCACTGAGGATCTCTAAGCGTGGAGAGTTGTTTATTTTCAGGGTGTTTGTGTCTCTCTGCCCTAGTAAAAGCCAGGGGTTTGAGATCTGCCCTTCACTGGATCTTGAGACCTGTGACTTCTGACAGTGACAGAGAAAGGTGAGAAAGACAGAGACTCAGGAAGCTCAGGCATCCAGCAGGCTCCTTGAATTTGGGGATGGGGCAGTGAAGAGAGGAATATGGAGGCACAGATAAGCCCACAGTGCCCAGGGCAGGCACAAGTTGTTTTTCAAACCAGTGAATTCAAGCCAGGGCTCAGTCTGCCCTCCCAGAGACGGGGAGGGACAGGGCGCGGGGCAGAACTTGAATTCCAAGACTTGGGGCTGGGAGTTAGCTGGACCACCTGGAGTATGTGTGGGGAAAGATGAGGGAAGAGTCCACCCAGAACTTGGGGGAAGGGGGCACCAGGTACTGGGGCTGTGTTACCTGGAGCTAGGGGTTTGGGGAAGCTGCCTGGAGTCCCAGCAGAGGTGTGTGGTCAGAGCCAGCTCTGCTAGCGGCCACTGCCTTGCTTTAGTGAATTTTTCCAAAAGTGACAGAAGGAAGAACTCGTCTCCAGTGGCCAGAGCCTGCCACCGGGCTGCGTCCCCTGGAGATGGTCTCCGCGGTCTCAGTCCCCAGTTCCCGACTCCTGCCAGGACTCGGTGGGTTAGGGGGGCCTGGACTCACTGACCCTGGGGGAGATGTGCGTGCCAAGTCACTCAGTCGTGTCCGACTCTTTGCAACGCTGTGGTCTATCCCACCACGCTCCTCTATCCATGGGATTCTCTAGGCAAGAATACTGGAGTGGGTAGCCATTCCCTTTTCCAGGGGATCTTCCCGACCCAGGGATCAAACCCATGTCTCTTACATCTTCTGCATTGGCAGGCGGGTTCTTTACCACTAGCGCCACCTGGGAAGCCCAAGGAACCTGGGGATTTCTGCTTTGGGGAAGGGTAGAAAAACCAGCTGGGCCTCTGAGTACCTTAAACCCCAATCCCCTGGACAGAGCCAGGACAAGAGACTGGCTACAAAGAGGAACTAAAACTGCCTAAAACTCCCAGCCCCAAACTTCCATAAATACTGGGTCCTAGGGGTGCGCGAGGATTCCCCAAAGCAGCCCCAAGAACACAGGGAGTGTGGCCAGGATTCGGAGTGTTGGACGCTGACTCCGGCGGGTGCGGGATGGACGTGGGCTCCCGTGCTGTGCGGGATGTCGCCGTCGCAGGCGCGCACACCGGCCCGACTGCAGTGTCAGCCCGTGGGTGGCCCGGCGACCTGAGTTAGGGACTGCACGCTGGGAGCCCCAACATGGGCGGAGAGTCACAGCCCAGGGCAGTGCCGCAAACGGGGAGGGGCGAGAGCTCGATCTCCCAAATGAAGGAAGAGGCTGGTTCCTAAGCGGCGAACTTGGCCTTTGGCTGGCGGCCGGCGCGGCTAGCCTTTGGGAAGGAGATGGAGTTCGTGCGGCACTTTGCAGCTTTGCAACCAGGCAGGCAGAGCCCATCTGCGAAGGTCAGGCCTCGGAGCGCGCTCGCAAGGGCGACCTAGCCGTGGCCAAGCAGGTGGCCCAGTTCAAGTTCTGCGTCCTGGAGCCTCCACGCCCCACACAGCGGGTGATTATTGTTTGCGCCCTCCGCAGCCACTGCGGGACTCCGGCCAGCCACCAGCTACGTGGGCGCGGTTGGTCAGCTTCCTTCTTCGCCCTCGGGTCTTTCCTCGGGTCCCGTCCTGAAGTCCTCTGGCATCTGCCAGGGGCGATGGAGGACCGTCCCACTCCTGGATTTATAGAAAATCCTGGAGTTACAGAATTATGGAAAGCCCTGAAGTTATAGAAACTCGTTCTTGGCTAGCTGCATTCCTCCAGCTCCTCCTGGCCGTGGCGGGAAGAGCAGCTGTGTCAGGGGTGGCTGCGGTCCTGGATGTGAAAGGGAGGCAGCCCAGCCTTACCCCAGAAGCAGCTTTCCTACTTGGAGGAGGCTTCGGCCCGCACTTTGACCGCGAGTCAGGGGAGGCCAGGCAGGGGAGGGGCGGCAAGGCCCCGGCACACCACACCCCTACAGGTCGGCAGCCCTTTGCCGCCAGGGAAGCTGTGCGGCCTCGATGGCAAACGGGGCGAGGCTGAGCCGAAGGGAAGCAGGGAGCCCTCAATTTCCTACCCACATTTGTCACTTTCAGTTTTGCGACCTGTCCTAGGGGCACAAGAAGTGGGCGGGACTGGCCAGAGAGACAGGGCCAGGAATATCAGCAGTGAGCCGGTTTGTACAGGTCGTAATGGGAGCTCCAAAGACAAGCGGTGAGCGCCTGAAGTTGAAACATTAGCATGAGGCTCAGTAGGTGTTCCGGAGGTTTGTTGAATGAGTGAGTGACAGGGTTTGAAGTCTGCGTGCATTCGGAGAGGTAGTGTACAAATGGCCGAGCTACATTCACCCCACCGGGCATGGCATGTGCATATGCCCTCTCTTTGGAAAGGCCAACAGGTTTAAAAAGGTTAAACATCTCCATGGATTACTGACTACACAGTCACAGCTGGAAGGCGAGTGGTTTGGGGATGAGAACTGAGATGTTCCTCCTTCCCTCCAAGGAGATTGAGTAGTTGTGGAAATCCCTTGCTGGGCTCTGTTGTCCATTCCAAGGACAGGGACTGGTGTGAAGTCACCCTTTCCTCTGCTCTCCCTGGCTCTGGGGAAGGAAAAGGGGAATGGGGAGTTTCTGGGCTTCACAGGAGGGCCAGGATTGGGGTGAAGTAAGTGAGGAACTCACTTGAAGCAAGATTGGGAGCTCAGTAATCAAGATAAATAACGTATCTTAGTGCAATATTTTTCTAATTTTTAAATGCAACATATATCCACAATACACAGGATACCAGAATTTTACACAAAGACGGAATCTGACTCTCACTTCTACAACCCTGCCTCACTTGCCTCCCAGGCTACCGTCAGCCCCAGCATGAGACTAAAAAAACCGCTGCAAATGGACTGTGGACTCTGCCTGAGGGCAGCATAGCACACGCAGGGCAGTGAAGGGTAGGAGTTATATTTAAAAGAAAGGGAGAAGAGAACGATAGGCGTGGGGATCAAGAGGTACAAACTTACTAGATACAAAATAAGCTACAAGGACAAGACAACACAGGGAACATAGCCATTACTTTATCATAACTATCAATAGAATATATCTTTAAAAATTGTGAATTGTTATGTTGTACCCATGCATATTATGTAATATTGTACATCAACTGTATCTCAATTAAAAGAAATTAAAATTTAAATAAAAGAAACCCTCTAGGAACTTTCCTGGTGGACCAGTGGTTAAGACTTTAAGCTCCCAATGCAGAAGGCGTGAGTTTGATCCCTGGTTGGGGAGCTAAGATCACACAAGCCACACGATTCAGCCAAGAAATTAAAAGTTAAAAAAAGAAACCCTCTAGCAGTTGGTGAGATGGAAACTTAACCAGCAGGTCCCACTGGGGAAGGTGAGGGAACTCAAGTGGGCTGGGAGGAGGGTCAGGACCCCTCCTGTCCACTTTTCTCCTGCTGTCCCTCTCCCCAGAGGCCTTGGATTGGTGGGACCCTAAGTGTGGTCTAAGGAACCACATGCATCAAATCCCCAGTGGGTGCTTGCTTAAGAAAATGAAGATTTCCTGGGCACCATCTCACATCTATTGAATGAGAATCCCTGGAAATATGGCCCTAGGACTTCATTTTTTAAAAAACTGATTGATTGAAGTAAAATTTACATACCTGAAATTCACCCATTGGAAGAGTACAATTTGAAGATTTTTAGGACACTTACAGAGTGGTGTAACCATTACCACAGTCTGTTTGAAGACATTTCCAACACCCTCCCCCCCAAATCCTCTATTCTCATTTGTAATTAATTCCCACTCCATGCTTTAGGCAACCATTGATCTGCTTTCTGTCTATATGTTTGCATATACTGGACATGTTATATAAATGAAACATATATATAAATATGCCAACTTTTGCATCTAGCTTCTTGTACTTATTTTTGAGGTTCATCTGTGTTGTAGATTTTATCAGTAGGTTGTCCCTTTTTTATTGCTTAGTAGTAATCCATTGTATGGATGTAACACATTTTGTTCATTCATTCATCAGTTGATGGATTCTGGGTTTGTTTCCACTTTTTGGCTAGCATGAATAATGCTGCTGTGATCATTCACAATGCATCTTTGTGTGGACATATTTTCACTGCTTTTGAATTCCTAGGAGTGGAATTGCTGGATTTTTATGAGTTTGTCTTTAATTTTTTAAAGAAACTCCTAAGCTGTTTTCTAAAGCAGCTGTACTATTTTACATTCCTACCAAATAGATGTGAGGGTTCCAGTTTCTTCACATCGTCATCTGCACTTGATATGTCTGTCTATTTGATTATAGCCTTCCTGGTGAGTATCTCAGTATATTTTTAATTTGCATTTCCTTAATCACTAGTAATGTTGAGCTCTTTCTCATATGCTTGCTAGCCACTCATATCTCATTTTTAGTGAAACATCTATTCACATGCTTTGAATATTCTCTGATTGGGTTATTTATCTTACTATTGAATTATAAGAAGTCATATATTCTGGATCCACATCCTTGATAAGATATAGGATTTGTAGATGTCTTATTCAAGAGTATTTCATTCATTTTTTTAAAAGAGACTCTTGCTTTTATTTATTTACTTGGCTGCGTGGGGGTCTCAATTGCATCACATGGGGTCTTCACTGGGTCATGCAGGGTCTTTTGTTGTGGCACATGGACTCTAGCTGTGGCACGTAAGTTCACTTGTTGTGGTGCATGGTTGGGCTGCCGCATGGGGGATCGTGGTTCCCCAACCAGGGATCGAACCCACATCCCCTGTGTTGCAAGGCAGATTCCCAACCTCAGGACCACCAGGGAAGCCCCTCATTTTCTTAATAGTGTCTTCTCACATACAAAAGTCTTTTATTTTGATGAAATCTAGTTTCATGATTTTCTTTTATGGATCATGTTTTGGTGTTGTATGAGGAACTCTTTGCCCAATCCAAGGTCAGGAAGGCTTTTCTCCTGTATTTTATTCTAGAAAGAATTGCAGTTTTAACCAGCTTTCTGAGCATCCGTGGCACACTGCCCAGAACCAGTGGTCAGAACGTATCTCCCACCTGTGGACAGAGTGTGTAGACTTGTGTGGTGTGTGTGAGTCTTGTCTGTAGGCCTGTGCACATGTGTGTACATCCTTCTGCGTGCATGACCGGGGGACACCATGAGTGGACCACTCCAGCTTCAGGACTCACCGTGGTGTGGGAGACAGATGCCAGTGTCCCTGCCTTGCAATCTGTGCTAGTTAATTCCCACCTTTGTGACTGCTCTTTCCCCAGGCCACCCGCTTCCCTGTCTAACCCTGGCTTCACACCCATCATTTTTGAAGGAAGAAGCTCTGAGGGGAAAGATACAGACAAGTGGGGGGAAGCAGCCAAGTCCTTAATTCATATACAGAAACACTTCTCCACCTGTCTTGCACTACACTAGCTGCACCTATGTCTGCATAAATCTGGCATATACTCTATGTTTAAATATATCAACAGTAGCCAAAGCACTTGCAGATAGCCTTATGTACACTGCTGCATTCCTATAACACTGGAGGAGGGCAGAGCCTGTGTGTATAGAGCTGGGGCTCACTATTTGTCGTTAAGTGTATGCATGCACAGGTTCACCCTCATTGCTCTATGGCAGGGCATGTAGTTTTTATGTATAGACATTTGTGTGACACGTGTGCTCACATATGTCCCTGTTTGCACATGCACAAATGGCTTCACCCAGCTTTGGTCTCTCTTCTCTCCTGGTACAGAGCCTGGCCTCAGAGGTCTCCAGATGGATGGAGGAGGCTGCTGGGGGAGAGAAGAACTTTCTATTCTTCTGACCATTCCCTCTGCCTAGGAGTCATGGGCGACCGGACAGTCTCTTCGCCCTTCTTGTTAATTTATTAATTCATAGTTTTATTTTTTTAAGTCAAGCTTGAAGTATAATTTACATATATTACAGTTCACCCTTTTTAAATGTGCATTTCTATGAATCTTTTTAATTAAGTTTTTATTTGACTGTGGTGAGTCTTAGTTGTGGGACATGAAATCTTAGATCTTTGTTGCAGCATATGAGATTGCACATGGAATCTAGTCCTTAGCCACTGGACCACCAAGGACGTCCCTAAACTTTTGAATCAGTTGCCAATGTTTTAAAAATCCAGGGAATTCCCATATGGTCCAGAGGTTAGGATTCCATACTTCCATCACATGAGGTATGTGTTCGATCCCTGGTCAGGGCACTAAGTTCCCATAAACTGCACAGTGCAGTGAAAAAAAAATAAATAATCCGGAGATATTACCTAGAAACCTCAAATTCTGGTCTTATCAGCAAAAAAAAAAAAAAAAAAAAAACCAAAAACCTGGACAAATTAAGAGTTCTGGCAATGTTGGTGTGTCCTACATGGTAACACTCTCCCATATCTCACTTACTTATATTAACTGCTGCACTCCCCGCTTTGACGTCTACAACTGTGCTGTCCACTGTGGGATCCACCAGCCACGTGTGGCTATAGAGCACTTGAAGTGTGGCTAGTCCAAATTAAGATGGGTTGTAAGTATAAAATATGTGTTGAGTTCTGAAGACGAAGTATAAGAAAATAACGTAAAATAGCTCATTCATAATTTTCAAAATATTGATTATATGCCAAAGTGATAATATATTTATTTATTGGGGTAAGTAAGATATATTAAAATTAGCCTTAATGTGTTTCTCATTTTTTAAAAATGGGGCTTCTGGAAAATCTAAATTTATATATGTGGCTCAGAGTGTACTGGTCTTGGACAGTGTGTTCGAGAGCGTAAAGGGCAAATAGAAGACCAAGCAAGACAGGTAGGAAGGGCTGGACCACAAGCTAGGTCCCACTTTTTAAAGAAAATTTGGCCACACTGTGCAGCATGTGGGATCTTAGTTTCCTGACCAGGGATGGACCCATGCCCCCTTCATTGGCAGGCAGATTCTTAACCACTAGACCACCAAGGAAGTCCCAAGAAGGGCGCTATGACAGTCACGGTCACCATCAGAGGTCAGGACCCATCTCTGGTCCTTATTGCTGAGCCAGCTTAACTATTTATACTTTGAACTTTAATCTCTTTATTTGAAATGGGGATAAAAATACCATCTACTTCACAGACCTGTTAATGTGAAGCCCTTGGCATATGCTTGGCACTCAGTGGAGGGTAGGCAGCATCATTCTGCTCAGCTATGGAGCTAGAATTTGATTCTCAGGCACTGATGAGTTCTAGGCTGGGGAGTGATGGATGTTTCAGAACGATCCTTCTGGAGCAGGGGCTGTGCAGAAATTCAGGTGGGAAGTGAGTGAGTGTCCCTCTATACCTGTGGCTGCATCCAGGCACGTGGAGAAAAGAAAGCCCTAGCTGATGGGTGCAGTGGGGTGGCAGAGGGCGGTGTGGAGGGCCTCATTGAGGTTTTTGGCTGGGCGAAGGCAGGGAGGGTTTCAATGCACATTCAGAGGGGAAAGCTGGAGGGGCTCTGCCAGTCCAGGCACTGGGCCAGCCTTGCTTATCTCTGCCTTCCCGAGGCTTAGCACAGTTCCCCGCACACCGGTGCGCAGCGAACATTTTGCCAGATGACTGGAGGGCCAAGTGCCGCCTTTGAGACCACAGTCCAGGGCTTACTACTGGTACTAAGTCTATCAGCTACATGATTTCAGACACATTATTTTACCTCTCTGGGCTTCAGTCTCTCATCTGTAAGATGGGGATAATAAACGTAACCTCTCGTTCTGAGGATTCAGTAAGGTTATCGGTAGAAGCACAGAGTATATAGTATAGTGAGTGCTCATTGACTCTTGGTCTCAGGATCTCCACTTGATTCCTCTCCCCAAATACAGAAGGCCTGCCTTTTCTACTAAGGCTCTCACTTCCTGGAAAGAAGAAAAGCCCAAGGGGAAACAGGTACTTCAGTTGTTCTCCCTTCCCCCTGAGGCTTAGCAGGAGAATGGAGGTTAGACTGCAGGAAGAACTTTCTTTTAGAGCCAAGAGTGTCCAAATGCGTGTTAAAAAATAAACTCAGATTCCCTTATCTGCCCTTCATAGATATTAGTACAAAATTAGAGAGTATTGGGGGAGGGAACGATAGGGGATGTCTCTTTATTCCTGGGCTCCTTGAGCATCCTGGAGTGACTTAGCAGGAAGAGGGCCAGGGTTGGGGACCTAATGGGGCCATAACCTCCCTGTCCCTGGGATGGGGGAGTCCAAAGCCCCCAGGCCTTTCACTGACCTGAGATGCTGGGGGAGACATGGGGATCACAGGTGAGTGGGAGCAGGGAATTGGGGACTCGTGATTGCATAGATCTGGCTGGGCCCTGCTGCAGTGACCCAGGAATCCAGTCTCCAGCTCACATTCCATTTCCTTATTTCCAATACCCTCTGTGATCACGCATGCCCAAACTCCCAAGACTGCTGAGGCTGTTTGATTTTTAACAGGGAACCAGCCTGACTCAGTGAAGGGAGTTGGGGTTCCAGAGCCAGAGAACTTTGAGTTTCATTTCCACCACCCACTGGCTGAGCGAACGTGAGTGAGTCACGTTAACCTCATGGTGCTTCAGTCTCTTCCCTTGTAAAGCAGGGTTAGTGGAAGCTCCTTCTGGAAGGTGCTGGGACGTGCAGAAGCAGCTGTGTGTGCGCATAGGTTGTGAGCACGCTGCCATCACGCAGCTGGCGCCTCAGCAGCATGCTCGCATCCCATCTGGCTAGTGCCCGTGCCCGTGGCCCCTGCTCAATGTTGTCTCTCTCCCTTGCTCTCGCTTCTGCCCCACAGTCCCCATCCTCTCCAAAGCCAGCAGCCTTTCGGCCCTCTCACTGGCCAAAGACAGCTTGGTTGGCGGCATCACGAACCCCAGTGAGGTCTTCTGCTCCGTGCCTGGCCGGCTCTCTCTGCTCAGCTCGACGTCCAAGTACAAGGTGACGGTGGGGGAGGTCCAGCGGCGACTCTCACCTCCTGAGTGCCTCAATGCCTCTCTCCTGGGTGGTGTCCTTCGCAGGTAGGAAGGCCAGCCCACAGCTCCCTGCCCAGGGTCAAGGCTAAAACCTGGGGTCCTTTCAGACTTTCTCAGGGGTTTGGAGAGGGGATGGCCCCACCCCAGGACACAGGGTCATCTCCATCTCAGTTTCCCAGGAGGATTATGCATGCTCTCTGGACAGGCCTACATCCTTGGCAGCTCCCATGGGTCTGCAGGCTGGAAGGTCGGGGGTAGAGAAGAGCCTGGGTACCAAGCAGGGATGCAGGACTCACCCACCTTGGGCATGATAGACAAGGCTGGGTTAGGGGAAGAGACAGGGCCATTTTCAACCTCACCCCACCCAGAAAAAGGATCCCCAGGACTTAAGGCCCATTCCCTGTGTCAGTATAGGCCTCTCTGATGTGTGTGTCCTGGGCAGGGAGCGTGGGGTCCATGGTTTGTCTTCATAATTGGGTCTGTCTCTCTCTGGGTATGTCCTTGTGCCTGGGTAGGTATTTCTGCTTCAGGACAATGGCTTTTGATGTATTTGAGGATAGTGTTTGTGTGCATGCTTGCATGTGTGTTTGTGTGTATGTGGTGTAGGGAGTGGACAGGAGTATATGTTTCCATGAGTGTGCATTTCCTGTGTTACTTTCAGTGGGATGTGTTGGGTAGAGTATGTTCCACTCTGTATGTCTGTGTGAGTATATGCTTACCTTTGTGTGGGGTTTCCCAGGTGGTGCAGTGGTGAAGAGTCCCCCTGCAAAGCAGGAGGATTCAGTCCCTGAGTCAGAAAGATTCCCTGGAGTAGGAAGTAGCAACCCACTCCAGTATTCTTGCCTGGAAAATTCCACGGACAGAGGAGCCTGGTGGGCTACAGTACATGGGGGTCGCAAAGTCAGACACGACTGAGTGACTGAGCATGCACCCTTGGGTAGGGGCTGCATTTGTGCAGGTGTGGGAATATCCCCTTATTCCTCTGAGCATCCCAGAGTGGCTTGTATGAGTGCGTGGGCGTCTGCACAAATGTCCCTGGGCTCCTGACTCGGTGTGGACATGTGTTTCTGTGTCCTGGATCTCTGAGACTGTATGTCTGTCTCTATTGGTGTGCATGTATCTGTTCCTGGCCCTCAGTGCATTTCATCTGTGTGTGTGTGTGTGTGTGCCCCTGGGCAGCTGTGTGTATAACAATGTCTCCAGGTATCACTCTGTGTTTCCCGTTTGTCTCTGGGCCTGCATGTCCCTGGGTAGCTGTGTTGATGTACACAGGTGGGAGGAAGAACTCTGAGATGCTGGTCCATCCTGCCCCACCTTGGGTTGTCCTTGCTATTGGGAGGATTAGGGAGAAATGAGGGGTTCCTGGAGCTGGGTGTACGGCCCCCTTTCCCATCGTGGCTGCAAACCCAGTGAGATTAGGAAGAGCTCGGGATCGGGCAGGTGGAGGCCCCAGTGTGTCCCCAAGGCCAGACCCAAGCCTCAGCAGGGTTGGTGGAGGCAGCAAGGCCCTGTTGGTTCACTGAGCACACGTGATTCTCTCTTCATAGTGTGTGTGTCTCTCTCTGCACGTCCAGGGCCAAGTCCAAGAATGGAGGCCGGTGCCTGCGCGAACGGCTGGAGAAGATTGGGCTCAACCTGCCCGCTGGCCGTCGCAAGGCCGCCAACGTGACCCTGCTGACTTCGCTAGTAGAGGGTGAGGCCCGAGGGGCCACGTGCCACCCAGTGTGACTGTGTGTGACCGTCTTGGATGCAGGAGGGTGTGTTTAGTATATGTGTATTCTCTGTGCACCATATATAAGGGGTATGTGTGAAATACGTGTACAGTCTTTACATGTATGTGCAGCACACAGGTGCATGTGCTGGTGCAGTGGAGTGTGTGTGTGTGTGTGTGTGTGTGTGTTTGTGTGTGTGAGGAAGAGTGGCCAGTGTTTGAATGTGGTAGAGATGATGGGGTTAGAGTCCGCTCCCGGGAGGTTGGTGACTCTGAGCTCAGTCATTTGAATTCAGGCACTGGGACAGAGCTCCCATCCCTGAGCTCAGAGACCTTCCGAGAAGGGAGGGCAGTGGGGTTGTGACCAGAGCTGAGATGGGAATCAGAAGGAGATACATACATAGAATCAGAATGGAGGATAGCCCTGGTCCGGAGCTGGAGGGTCCAGGCTGTGCTCCAGGCTCAGAGGTACACCTGGCTGGTGGCGTCTCATCTCTGCCTCCCCTCCCCGCAGGAGAGGCCGTCCACCTGGCCCGAGACTTTGGCTACGTCTGTGAGACCGAGTTCCCAGCCAAGGCAGCTGCTGAGTACCTGGGCCGACAACATGCTGACCCCGGGGAGCTGCACGGCCGCAAGAGCATGCTGCTGGCTGCCAAGTGAGTGAGGGTGCCGCGCACAGGCTCCCATGGGTGCCGCACAGACACGGGCGCCGAGCGTGGGCCCAGTGGACACCACGTGTCCCGCGGTGCACACACGGTGCGTGTGGCTCTGTGCACACCTAGGCTCATGCTGCACGTGACAGGGCGCACGTGGACTTGTGAGCATATCTGAGTTCTGTGTCACACACACAGTGTCAGGACAGGCTCACACAGAAGCCCATGTGTGGGTTCCATGCCCCCACGGCACCACCAGCCCCGGTCCCATCGTGGGTCCGAGGGTCTCTAGCCTTGCACCCACGCCTGAGCCTTGCCAGTCAGCCCCTCTGCTCCTGTGACCTCCATCAGGGCACCCAGCCAGACCCCTGTGTTGACCCTACTCTGTCCTTCCTTCACACCTGACCCCTCTACAAGTCTCACGGATGCCTCCCTCAGCCCACTCACATGCCACTTCGACGCTGGTCTCCTAGTCTCACTCCTGGACATTTGCCCCAGTGCCCCTCTGTTCCCCCAGCCTTCCTGCCCTGCACATGCACTGCTCTCTACCCAAGAGCCTTCAACGGCTCCCACTGTTACTGCATTGATTTTCAAACTAGGTTCTGCTGGGATGCTGCAGGGCCTGAGTAATGAACTGATGTTTGATAAGATTTAGTTTTTAGAAAGGGTTCCCTTGCAAGAAGAGACAGACACGGGCAGTTTGAAAACCACCGTTCTGTAAAATCCAGACTCCTTTGAGGACCCCCACAATGTGGTCTGCACGAACTCCACCCACTCCACCTGACCCTCTTGCTCTCTCCTGCCCTCCCATTCTTGGGTTTGCTCTTCCACTTAGAATGACATTCAGTCCTTCCACCTAAGGCAGTTCTTCATATCACAACTGCACCCTCCCTTCTTCACGGTTCTCTCAAGTGCGCTGGGCAGAAATGGACTCACAGACTCACGGGACTGCCATGACTCATGGGACTGCCATGACTCATGGGGCAATTGAGACTTCATATTGGAGCTGGAGAAACATATCTAGGGCAGGACCCACCTCACTCATTAATCAGCTAACTCACCAAGCCCTTCCTGGGTCCCAGTCATGTCTAAGATGCTGACTGGGTTCCTTGGTGATACAAAGGGAAGACACAAGTGGTTCTCCTGCCTGAGGTGGACACAGGATGCATAGAGAAATGAATGATGGCTACAGAATGGAGTTGGATTCAACTTCCAGTCTAGTCACTTGGAGAGGTCACCTAATCATCAGAAACTAACGAGTTTCCTCTTCCATGTGACAGGGATGATAACAATACAGATTTGTTGTGAGATTAAGTGAGCTGATACAGTGTGCTTGGCACAGAATCTAGGCCTCAATTCATATTCACTGCTTGGTTTTATTTCAGTTAGTTAAGGCAGATTCTGGATTGTTCCCAAATAATTTCATAAACAAAGCTCTTGAAGCATTGTCTGCTTTGGGTGCAGGTGGGAGTAGGTAGGAGAGAGAATCAAGGAAAGTTTCCTGGATAAGGCAGGAGTTGAGCTGGACTTGAAATGTGGGCAGAATATCCACAGGAAAAGAAATCGTAGGGTATTGGCATGTGCTGTTTATTAGCTGTGTGATATTGAGCAAGTCAGTTACCATCTCTGAACCTTCATTTACTTTTCTGTAACATGGGTATGATCATCATTTGTAGACTGTTGGGTCAGCAGTCATATCTATGATATCCAGCTGGACTCAGACCTCTGTCCTCTAACCTCTGACCGTCCTTCCCCAACCAGGCAGATCTGTAAGGAGTTTGCAGACTTGATGGCGCAGGACCGTTCACCGCTGGGCAACACTCGCCCAGCGCTCATCCTGGAGCCCGGAGTGCAGAGCTGTCTGACACACTTCAGCCTCATCACCCATGGTTTCGGCGGGCCTGCCATCTGTGCTGCCCTCACTGCCTTCCAGAACTACTTACTGGAGTCACTCAAGGGGCTGGACAAGATGTTTCTAAGCAGTGCGGGCAGTGGGCATGGTGACGCCAAGGCGTCAGAGAAAGATTCCAAACATCGGAAGTGACCGCTTGCCCACCCCATCCCTGAGGGGCTCGCAAGATCTGAAATGAGGTCTTTGCTCCTGGGGGTGGGCCTGGAAGCATTCAAAGGTGGGGCTGGAGTCAGACCAGAAAAAGGACATTCCTCCGAAACCCATGAGTTAGGGGTCTGGGTTGGAGTAAGGGGAAGTGGCCTCTTGTGCTGTGTTGATAAGTTAAGCACCCAGGTGTTTGCCTCCTGTGTGCAATTTTCTGACCCTTGACTGCTGAGATGGGCTTGAAGAGGAGGTTGGCACGCAAAAGCCTGGTTCTTGGGGCCAGTGCTGCCCATTAGGGTGCCTGGGCAGTGATGGGTGCCCCTAGGGGCCAAGGCCTCGCTGTTTTTACTGAGACCAGGAGGGAAATGAACAAACCAGAGGTGCTGCTGAGCTGGCATGCTTCATCTCGCAGTCTCCTACCCCCAGAAAAGGGGCGCTTGGCAGGAGGCCCCAGGGGGTTCTTTGGATCTCTGCCGCTCTTCTAAAGAAGTGGGCAGGAGGGGCCCTCAAGGAACAGAGAAGATAAAGCACAAATTGGGTAACTTGAATCCAGGCTGCACTTCAGTCCTGTTGCTGTCTGTCCTATTTATTTATCGTTAAAGTTTAAAAATGTCCAGTGCCAACTTATTTATCACAGTGAGCTGAGGACTGTTGTTCCACTGTCTCCTGCTCACGCACCAAGATGTGCAGCTCCACTAGGAGGGAGAGGGTGTTTTTGCTCAAAGGGCTATGGGTGGGCCGGGAGGAAGAAAGATGCCAGGGACTCAGGTTGTGGCTGAGGTTCTGTACTCACGGCTGCTTCTCCTGACCCTGCAGTAAGTGTACCCACCCCCCGCCCCCCCACTATCAGACTGCCTTCTCATTCTCTTAATAAAACCTTTCACTGGATGTGAAGCCCTCCCGGTCCTTCCTCAGTCCAGGCCTGGATTTGCCTCCCCAGATGGCAAGGTCACAGCGGAGAGACAGGCCCTGGGAACTGGGGGAATGGGGTGGAGGGCCTAAGGGGGAAATCTTGGAGGGGGCTGTGGGCACCACTGTGTGAGGGGATAGACGGTGGGTCTGTCTGGCTTGTCAATGTGGCTGTTCTGTGTGTGAGAAAAGAGGTGAATCCTGGGTGGGGGCGCATCTGCATGTTATTGTGACTGAGCCTGTGTGTGAAGGAGCCAGTCTGGCTGTTAGGTCTATGTGATGCGTTACCATGATCATTGGTGGTGGGTCTAGACATGTGTCAATATGAATGCTGATGGCTGTCTGTCTGGCCCATTCCAGTCTAGCTTCTTTGTCTTCTTGAGGTCGTTCTTCAAACCATTTTTCTTGCCTGCACCTTCAGTCTCTCCGTCCCTACTGAGTCATCTACTAGATCATTCCCTAAAGGACACATTCTAGGATCGCTTACCTTACCAAACATAAATCCTTTCCTTTTAAAGAGTTCTTTAAAAGATTATGACACCCCTACTTCCACTTCCCCACCCCCAATTCACTCCTCAACCCATTTTACTCTGCTTCTACCACTACCAGCCTATGGAAATCCACTCAGCAAGGTCATCAATGGCCACAAATCCAAAGTCCCCTCTTCTGGACTTAGCAGCATTTGACATGGCTGATCACTTGCTCTCTTCTGAAACACGCCGTACTCATGTCCAAAATGGAGTACTTGACTCAAGTACTCAAATCTTGACCTGGCCACCTTCCTGACCTCAGTAAATGGTGCCACCCTCTAAACCCAGTTGCTCAAGCCAGAAACTAGGAAGTTATATTTGATTCTGTCCCTATACCCTATCCATCACAAAGTCCATCCAGATAGAAGACTCTCCTGCGCTACCACCCTGGTCCTTGGGAATATTACAGTAGTCTTCCAACTGGTCTGTTTTCACTGGTACACCATACTAAAGCCCTGCCAGCAATCGAGATGTTGCTTACTTCTTCAACCACATCTTAAACTATTCTCTTCACTTACTTTGCTCTAGCCACACTGGTTTCCTTTCGGTTCCTCAGATTGCCACTTTCATGCCTCAGGGCCACTGCACTTACCATTCTCCTTGCCTGGAATTCTCTTCCCTCAGTTCTTTATAGTTATGCTGTCCAAGACAGATGGTCAGGTGTTTTGCAGAAATGAAAGGTTTAGGAATCATCTCCCAGGGGAAAGGTCCAAAGATGTGACTGCTTCTCCCAAGAAGGTTCCCTGCCACAACCTACACATATGAAAGGATGGGAGGAAAGGCAGAAAGTATGTTCTGCTTTAATGAAAGACCTGGACCTGGCAAGAGACGTTCTACTACTAACATTATTTTAGACTGAAGGAAGTTGAGGGAATTAAATGAAGATAAGACATATGGCACTTAGACTATTTCAGCACCCTCTTCCGTTTCTTAGGGGCTCCTTGTCAGCTTCCTCAACCTTCACTAGTCGGAGCTAAGCTTCCCTACCCTGAGGCAAAACAGCTGCTCTCTTCTCCAACCTAGCCCCTCTCACCCCAAGCATGGGAAGGAATAAATTGTTTCCAGGGTATTAATCACCTGAAAGCAGATGGGAACCAATTGGGAGACCATTCTGAGCAGGGTTTGGCCAGAAGTGTTAAAGCATCAGTACACTCCCAGTGTTTTTCAACTTCAGAAAATCGATTAAGAAGGACAAAGCTGGCATTAAAAAAAAAAAAAATCTAGTATAGATAACAGATTAGAAAATATCAGGGTGCACTGCATCACAACCCAATCATACACATATATGTATCTGTAAGAGAGATTTCAGGAAGCAATGCTTACCGTTTATACAGTAGGTATCAAGTAAAAAACATATGCTGAGGCTATATCAATTCAGTTAGGCCATTGGCTTTATGAGGTGTAGAAGGAAAGGAAATTGGGAAGCTAGGCTGGGAGAGGATTATGAAATGCTTAGCATGTCAAACCCAAGTTGGGTTTCACATTTTCAAAGTCACTCAGTTGTGTCCGACTCTTTGCAACCCCATGGACTATACAGTCCCTGGAATTCTCCAGGCCAGAATACTGGAGTGGGTAGCCTTTCCCTTCTCCAGGGGATCTTCCCCACCCAGGGATCGAACCCAGGTCTCCCACGTTGCAGGCGGATTCTTTACCAGCTGAACCACAAGGGAAGCCCAAGGATACTGAAGTGGATGGCCTGTCCCTTCTCCAGCGGCTCTTCCTGACCCAGGAATTGAACCAGGGTCTCCTGCATTGCAGGCAGATTCTTTACCAACTGAGCTATCAGGGAATATAAATAGAATGGAATAAAGTTGCTTTGTTCTATAAGCAATGGAAACCATCAGAAAGTGTTAAGTGAGGAGAGGAATGGATGATCCAATTTTTAGAGTACAGAGAAAAAACTGGAGAGGGAGGAGATTAACAGTAGAGAGAAGCTCGGAAGCTGTTCAACTAGTCTGAGAAAGGGAGTCCCTGGTGGCCTAGGGGTTAGGATTTCAGGCCTTCCCTGCCGTAGTCCAGGTTCAATCCTTGGTTGGGGAACTGAGATAATGAAGATGGAGAGTTTCATTAAAAGGTTTAGGAAGCCAAATGCGAGAACTTGGTGACTATGTGAAAGCAGGAAATAAAGAAGGCAACAAAAATGATGCCCAGCTAGATGCAATGAGGTATGCTGGATCATATCCTAGAATAGAAAAAAACATTAGTGGAAAAACTGGTGAAATCTGAATAAAGGTTGGAGTTTAGTCAATACAATGTGCCAACCAATGTTTCTTAGTTTCACAAACGTATTCTGGCTAACATGTTAACACTAGGGGAAACCAGGCGAGGAGTATGACACTCTGCATCATCTTTGCAACTTTTCTATAAAACTAAATTTATTCCAAAATAAGTTTATCAAAGATAAATGATGCATAGGTTTCTGGCTTGGGCACTTGGGAGCCAGGGACTGGTGGTAAGGCTCAGCTTTAGACATGCCGAGTTTGATGTCCTGTGACTAGAGGGTGAGATACCTAGAATTAAGTGTATATCGAGTTTAAGAAAGAGATCTGGATTGGAGAAAACAGACTGGAGGTCCGGGTGGGCTGGTGGCCTTGCGGGCCACATATTCAAAGGCAGAGAACGATTTCATTCTTAGTGAGGCCTGGATGCAGAATAACAAGTTTACCCATGATCCTATACTTACTGGGACTTCCCAGGTGGCACTAGTGGTAAAGAACCTGCCTACCAATGCAGGATACGTAAGAGACGCAGGTTCGATTCCTGGGTTGGGAAGATCCCCTGGAAAAGGAAAAGACACCCCACTCCAGTATTCTGGCCTGGAAAAGTCCATAGTGTTGCAAAGAGTCGTACACGACTGAAGTGACTTAGCACACATGCATATGTTTATAGAGCACTTAACATATGCCAGGCCCTGTTCCAAATGCTTTACATTAGCACATGGAATCCTCATACAATTCTATTTTACAGACAGGAAAACCATGAAGCAGGACTGCTTACACTTTAGTAGTGGCACTCAACTGGGCCAAGCATCAGAATCACCTGTGGAGCTTTAAAACAGATGTCTTAAGAGAGTCAGGAAGCTAGCCAAAAGCTCACACCTATGCACAGTGATGGTGGTAAACTAATGACGAACTAGGCATGGTCATGTGAATCATCTCTTTCTCCCATTTATTCAATAATTAGCTTGCTTATGGTACAAAGCATTTACCAAATCTGATAGTAATTCAATACTGTTAACACAAATATGCTATCTATAGGGAGTAACTTAGACAGATGATATATTTCACCCCAGATAAACAAAAAACCTATTGTATGTGGTATTAAGAGCAGCACAGAATCAGATAAAGTTGGGCTTATCTTAGTCTAGGACCAAATGGTGCTCAAAGTATGGCTCCCAGACCAGCAGCATCACATCGATCAGAAATATCAGAAATGTAAAATCTCAGGCCACCTCCTCAAACTACAGGAGTAGGACCCAGCAAGCTGTGTCTATAAGGAAGTTGGGATGCATGCTGTAGTTTGATGATCACTGCTCCAAAGAAGCTTCAAATTGGTGGTTCTCTATTGTGACTAAGGGTTAGAAGCTTTAAAAAATGTTTCTAGGCTCCAAACTTGTTAGAATCTGGGAGTGAACGCAGGCTAATCAAGCTGATTAAAAAAAGACAACCATCCAGGTGATTCTGATACATACATCTGGTTAAGAACTACTGTTTTAGTGGCACCAACAGAAAAATATCTACATTACTCATTACCAAAAAACTAGATTAGAAAGTAAAATAAATACCTGGTTAACCACTTACAGTACACCAATATCATGGAATATTATGCAACTGTCAGTAAGAGTAAGGTAGCTATTTATGTACTAATATAAAAACCATCTCCCATAGTGTTAAATGAAAAAAGCAATATGCAGAACATTTAAAAATATTTTTTAAAAGGGACATGTGCATGCATGTATTTTATATAAGAACAATATATCTCTAAAGGCTAGATAAGAAATTAGTAGCTGAAGTTTCCTCTGGGAAGGGAAGAAGGTGAATAAATTATAGGGATGGAAAAAACATTTTCACTGTGTGTTTGTCCTGCTTGCATTTTCTCTAGATGTATGTATTATCTATTCAAATCAATTAATTTAAAAATGTTTAAGCTTAGGGGCAATAAAGAACCACTGCTTTAGAGGGAATGAGACTTTAGCAAGCAAACTGTCAGCTACTGAAGGACAAGCAGAGCATCAGTGAAGGAAAGGGGCAGGAGGAAAGAATCCTCGCAGGAAGTCCAGCGCGGGTAATCCTTCCCCCACCTCCTCCCTGAGGTGATGTCGGGTAAACTCAGACTCAACCCAGAGGGCTCAATAGATCCACCGTCAGCTTTATTTTGAATTAACCACCTGTGGAGAGCACACATCAAAAGAGTAGAAAAAAATAGAGGAGCTCATCAAAAAAAGTCCCCCGGCAAGTGGGAGGGGGGCATGACGTTAGGAGCCCTGCTTAGGGAAGGAGATGTTGTCCAGGTCGTGGATGCCATTTCTGTCAATGATTCGAACACTGAAGGTTGGCAGATTCAGGATGAAGCGTTTCTGGAGCTGCAGAGAAACATGAAGGAAATCAGTCAACAAATTTTTATTGAGAACTGTGGTCCAGGCTCTGTTGTAGGCACTGGACATACAAGCAGATAGTGACTTTTGCTTTGGGGGCGCTTGGTACCCTCCCGGGGACAGCTGGTACTAAGATACTGAGGAAAGCCCAAACTGCAGCTGGAGGCTGACTGGAAGGCAGTGAGCAGGAGCTTGACTCTGGTCAGTCAGCTGGTGAAGAACGGTACAATCTAATGTTCTATTCCTCACAGTCTGCCACCCATCGGCCTGGTAAACACAGACTTCTCTTTCAAAATATCTCAAGGCAACAAGCCAACCAAGGAGCTACTGCCCTAGGAAAAGCTTTGGGCCAAAGCCATGTATTCCTAGGTCCAACAGTATGCTCCAGCCACCCACCCACGTTTATAAGGACCAGGTGTATGCGAGTGTGTCTGTGTGCAGAGCTGGAGGCTGGTGGCAAGGACGGTCTCAGAACTGCTCTTGGAACAACCCCTACTTCTACCTTCTTCAATCCAAACTGAACTGTCATTAAAGAAACCTCTCTGGACTCTCATGTGACTGTCTGCCTGAGAGGCTGTTCCCAAGGACCTGTGGTCTGTATACAAAAAGCAGACTAAAGGCCCCGTTAACCTGGCTGGAGACTGCTGAAGAGCACAGCTGACCTGGAGGAAATCGTCTTTCTCTGGGCGACTCTTCCTGGACAGCTCACTTCATCTCTGGATAGAAGGCACAAAGCTCTACCTGCTCCCTCAGGGGCATATCCTGAAAAGGTACCCCTCCCCTGGCCCAAGCCCTCCCTCCCTCGATGCTTCCATCTCCTTTACAGATGAGGACTGGGCAGCAACCACCACTTCCATTTCCATAGCCCTCCCTGGCTGATGACTCCCATATCCAGAACAAAGTTCCAAGACCAAGAAAAGGAGACAATAATAAGGAAATGTGGAGGATCCATGGGGGATAAAGTCTGAAACATTCCACATTCCAATGGCTTCTTCCTGGCAAACCCTTGCAACACTTGGAGCTGCTGGACTAATATGGCCTCTTGGCTGAATTTTTAAGAAAAGCACATGAGTTTATTTTCAGTTTCTGCTTTGGAAAGGAGATTAACAAGAGGAAGAAGGGCCCCTGTGGACTGAAAATGACAGGTTTGTATAAGAGGCAAACTGACATTACTGATGCTACCAGCTGCTCTCAAGCTCCTACTCTCTTCTCACTAGAGTACAAATTCAAGTTCATCCTTAGGCTATAGGAACAACAAAATAATGAAAAAGCCTAAAGGAGCTGCTTTCTTTTCCTCCTCATCTTCCTTTCATACCAGAGCCTCAGACTCCAAGCAGTAGTATTGGAAGGCGAAGGGCCCATGTTCCTGGCCTCATAAACTAAAGGCTACTCTCTCCATCTGCCCAAAGCCTGCTCGTTATCTTCTATGGCTTCCTGAATTCCCAGGGGTGGCTTTCCCTCCCGGACTCATGTACTGTTAAGGAAGCAGACTTTATGGCCAACCCCAGGTAACACAAAAATGGAGCAGGTATAAAATCCAGCACAATAGTTCTTAAAGTACACTCCCCCGCCCCCAGCTACCATCTGTAGCAAAATCACCTGGGACTGCTGGCCAAGACAGTCTCAAGAGCTACACCAGGACAAGTGATTCAGAATTAAGGTGAAGTGGAAAGCATGAATATGCCTTTTTTAAAGAAACAAGTTCCCCAGATGATTCTTACCCATGCTAAAATTTGAGAATTACTAGTCTAGAAGAACCAAAAATAAAAGTAATTAGATTGTAAAATTGACATTGATGAGATGGTGACCCAGGAGAGAAAAAAAAATCAGCTTGTTATGCATCAAACTGTATCCCTGACAGGAACTTCACATATGGTTAGTGGATATTACACTTTCTGGCAAGGATAAGAAAAAACGCAACTGAGGAAGGGAAACAATACTGGCCAACAGAGAGACAAAACATTCCTTTCAGGATCCCATGAAAGCTACTCACCTCCTCCAGACATTTCCTAAGGAGCTCCACTGCCTTCTCACGCGAGATAGCTGAAAGAGAACACGGAGGTCAGGCCCTCAAGGTGCTGACACCAAGTCCAACTCTCTGCCACAACTCTGAACCAAGTTTCAAACTTTTTCAGGTCAACATGACACACAAACAGATAAGGGAAAAAAAGCCTAGGCTTCCGATTTACAGCAAACTTGCTCTACATGCAGTTGAGTGTCCCAGGCCCAGTGCTCAGGCAGCCACAAGCCATTGCGAATTGATTTGCTACAGAGAAGGGTAAGCATGACGGAATCTGCCTCCCGAGAAGTCCAGCGGCCTGCCTCTTCTTTATAGCCCATCCCCCAACTCCCAACAACCCCCAGCCCTCCTTTAGACCAGGGCTTAAATCAGCTCCATCTGCCCTGGCCAGCTGCAAATCAGGGAAAGGGAGGACAGGGCCAGTGTGTTAGCCTCACTTTGCCAGCTGGGCCCCAGACTAACAATAGAAACAGAATTCATAGGATGGGGCTGAGTCTCTCATAAAACAGGAGCCAAAGGAACTGTCCACAGGCATGGCAAACTGGGATGACATATGATGCAGTTTGGCTTCAGGGGTGGCTGGCGGCTATTTTGGTGGGCAAATCAGCTGTATTACTGACAGATGCCCAATCAGGCAATGGTCACTAGGAGGCCAGGCTAATTTTTTCAGGATGTGGCCTGGAGCTCTGGCATGGCTGAGGTTGAGTGAGAGGGCAGCACCATAAAAAGAAAGAACCAGCCAGATTCCTGCTACATTAATAGGGAAGAGCAGAATGTAAGGCCAAAACTGGTTATCTGTGCTGCATCTACAGCGTGTAAAAGCTGTGAATCCCAAGTGCCTATTGCTCATGATGGCTGAAGCTGAGGTTAGGGTTGGGGTCAGAAAACAGAACTTAACACAGAAGCAATCCTGTGTCTAGAGGTTTGCCAAGTGGAAGGTTCATGGACAAGTAGAGAGCCAGCTTTCTCATATAGGAGAGGGCAGCTATTATGTGATAAGGATACAGGGTGTGGCCTTAAAAAGCTTTGATATTTAAGGAAAGAAACCCTCAGTTGTCATCCTGGAGACCTGTTCATCATCACAAGCTCCAAACAAACATACCCAAACCACTTGGTTTACTTGCTTATTCTCTACACCTGAAAAGCTAATGAGCCCCTAAGTAGTGGCAAAATGAGTGCAAAACCTGAACTTTTATAACCGAAGAATTATAGTTTTAGTCATTATTCCAACCCCCCTTTAAAACAAAACCCAGCTCTGGACATATGCAATACCTCATTTTACCTGGTGGAAGAGGGACTTGGACCAGCTTTTCCATAACCCTAATGACCTACAGAAAAAAGCTTCCTGAGGGCACTTTCCTTGGCCACCCTACTCCAAGGGGTTGTACATAAAGCCGGGAAACAGCTGAGGACGGGGCTTTGCTACTGTTCCCAACCTAGAGAGCTGCAACTTACCTGGCGTGTAGTATCGGTCCAGGATGCTGAGAGTCAGGAAGGCACCGTAGCCGTGAGCTGCGAAAGGGGCTTTTGCCAAGGCGGCCAGGTAGTCCATGTAGTAGAGCGCCGGACCCTCATGCTCATCATAGCCAGCCAGGAGGAGGTTGACATGATACGGGGTCTGCCAAGGAAAGACACTGTAATGTGATGGGCAAAGCGATAACGCCAACATCTCTCATGGAAACAGGAACATTCCAACTGTTGATAAATAGTAGCAGCAGCTGAGTAAATGATGATGAAAGAAAAGATTTAGAGAAATCTAAAGGACCCAAAGTGTGGTGAGAGGTAAAGAGAGGTCAGCTTGTTTTCTCTGAACAGAAGACCATTTGGACCACTTTAAGGTATGTGAAAAAGTTGCTTCTTAGAGCCCATGGACCAAAACCTGTTATAAAAGCATTTCAAAGACAAAACATGGGTGTTCTTGTGTTGTTCCTAATAGCTGAAACCAAAACACACCATTCTGAGAATGTCAGGCCATGGGCTAAAGAAAGCTACAGCACCAACTACATCATCCAAAAAAAAAAGGCTCAGTATGGGCATTTGGACCACAATCTCAAATGGCAAACTGTCTGTCTCACTATTAAGAAACTAAGTCTTGGGCTACATTTAATAAATCCTGGAGAGGGTGTGAAGGAAAGGCCTACATTGTTGCTGGGAATGTAAACTGGTGCAGTCACTATGGAAAACAATATGGAAATTCCTTTAAAAATTAAAAACAGAGCTACCATATGATCCCACTATTTCTACTCCTGGGTATATGTCCAAGAAAAGACAAAAACTCTAAGTCAATACATGCACCCCAATGTTCATAGCACCACTATTTACAATAGCCAAGACATGAAAACAACCCAAGTGCCCATCAACAGATGCCTGACTTAAGAAGATGTGGTACATATATACAAAGGAATATTACTCAGCCATAAAAAGAATGAATTACTGCCATTTGCAGCAACATGGATGGACCTAGATAATATTCTATGTAGTGAAGTAATTCAGAGAAAAACATTATATGATATCACTTATATGTGGAATCCAGAAATAATACAAGTGAATCTACACACAAAACAGAAACTAACTCAAAGACATAGAAAATATATGCATGGTTACAAAAAGGGAAAGGGAGGAGGGGTATAAACTAGGAGCATGGGATTAACAGTGACAAACTACTATACATAAAATAGATAAGTAACAGGATTTACTATATAGCATAGGGAACCATATTCAAAATCTTATAATAACCTATGATGGAAAATAATCTGAAAAAAAGTATATATATAACTGAATCATTCTGCTGTATATCTGGAATTAATACAATACGGTGCATCAACTATAAAAAAGATTAAAAAAAGAGAAACAAGTCTTGGGGTCAAGTGTAGAAGTTCTCAAATATTTCAATCAAATCACTAACCTTGTTTTTGGCCACAATACACGGCTTGCGGGATCTTATTAGCTCCCTAACCAGGGACTGAAGCCCACACACCAGGCAGTGCATGGGCAAAGCCCTAACCACTGGACCACCAGGGAACTCCCAAGTCACTGCATTTTTAATGCAGACAGTAGTAATGGAAGTTGGTAAGTTCAAAGAAATGTGGTAACTCTAGAAGAACTGTACATTTAGGTGAAATGCTAATTATTTTTCTAATATAACAAGGCTGCGCTAACTAAAAGGTAATTTTTATTAATGAAACAAAAGTAATTACAATAACCTATTTTATAGGTATCCTTTTTTTGTATTACCTGCAACTGTAATGAGCAAATTTCTACAGAGAACCCTGACTAAGTCTGCCTTGATCTTCATCTCTATATGGATGATTATTTTTCTACACCAGGTGGGCCATTTGCCATGTTAGATTCAGACTGTCTGTGTTCCCAGGCATCACTGGTGCAACTTCCATGAAAAAATGACTTCCTTTTTTCTCTGCAAAGTATGTTTTCCCTCTTGCCCTTGCCTCAGTGAACAGGCCTTGCCCATAGTTAGGTGCCCATTCCTAGACTTACAAATTCAATCAAATGGACATTAAATGAAACTAAATACATTTATGCATCATATAATGGGGCATAAAGTAACAACAGCTGATGGTCTTAAAAGTGATGTTTTGTATTCTTTGAACACTGATCAGCATGGGCACTTGGCAGCTTGAAGAAACATTCTAACTCATGTTAGAAGATACACATGAAAACATTATATACCTACTTGGAATTCCAAGCCAGCTGTGCTAAGTAGTATTTCCCAAAGATTACAGTGTAGCTCTAACCTGCAAACAACTTTCTGCCTTGGGGATAAAAAATAGTGAATAGACTCAGAGGAATAAGAAATAACCAGTAATAGTTAAGTCTTTTGAGAAAATAATTAACTGCCTATTACATTTCCCAGTAAGTAGCATGCTAACCTCTGCCAGTAGTCTCTGGAATTTTCTGCCACATTCTGTGACTACATTCTTAGTAAGTCTGACCTTAAGCAAGACACTTAACCTTTATGAACATATTTCCTTATGTGTAAAACTAGGTTAATTAATCCTTCCCCTTTCTACTTTCTAGGAAATACGGTGAGAAAAAATAACAGAGGTGACACATCCCGAACTCTGGAAGAAAAAAATGTGACCTAAATTCTTAGTATATTAGCCATATCCCAGTGTCTTTTTTGATAGCTTACCACTTTAAACAACAACAACAAAACTGTTTGAACTACCTAAAAATAAAAAATAAATATAACAGTATTTTTAAAAAACTGTGACAACAGTAATGCAACAACAGGGAGACAAAGAATATCATGGTGTTTTTATAGTTAAAATTAGAAAAGCAAAAAAGAGGGGCTTTCCTGGTAGTCCAGTGGTTAAGAATGCACCCTCCAATGCAGGGGACAAAGGTTCGATCCCTCGTCAGAGAACCACATCCCACATGCCACAGGGCAACTACTGAGCCCACTCGCTCTGGAGCCCACGTGCCACAACGAAGACCCCATGTGCCGCAACCAAGACCCAATGCGGCCAAATAAATAAATTAAAACGAAAAGCAAAAAAAGAAATATCCAAACTGTTTTCCTTCCCCAAGAGATTTAATAATATAGTTACTTACCTATCACAAAATAAGCTCATCTTTTTGCTAAAAGGATAACAAACCTTCTCCATTTACTAGAGGACATTCCTTTTATGGCTATTTTATCCAGTTGTTTATTAAGGATCCACCCAGATATCTAAAGAGACCTAATCAGCAGAAACCATATATGCTTTCTCCAATGAGGATCTTGCCCACACTGAGATCAAACTGTGTTTAAAACAATTAATGTGATCTTTAAAAGCCACCACAAAAAATTTTTATGTGAAGATGTCAAGAGAATTCCAGAAACAAACCATATTGCTTAATTGGTCTATATAATATCATTTATTTATGCTTAAGCATCTGACACACACACTCATCAAAGTTGGTATTCAGAAGCTATAACACGTGGTACAGAAGATAACTCACAAATTATTGTGTGACTTTGAATTACCAACTTTTGCATGTGTGAGATGCTTAAGCATAAATAAATGGTGTTATCTAGACTAATTAAATCATTACATCTGTGTAACAACTTGCAGTTTCTGAAATTCTTCTGACAATGCTCCATCAGAGATCTCTGGCTCACACCAGTTTTTGGTTTTTAATTTCAAATAAGGTCTTATATACTGCTACTCCCTTACTCCTCTAAGAACCATGGCATTCAAAGTGACAAAGCCATACTGATGGGTTTCTTGATTCTTATATTTTCTCCTATTCCTGATGCAACAGTATTTTCCTTGAATAAGACAAATTCCAAGCCATTCAATTTTGTGAAATTCTTACAGCATATACATGTGTGACTATGGTGTGTTTAGGGAAATACATAGTATGTGTAAGACACAACCCACCTATTCAAATATTTATACCGATTACAAACTCCATGAAGGCAGGACTCTGGCTTGTTCAATGATGTATAAGCATATAGTATATATATGTTCAATAAAGATTTGCTGAGTGAATAACAATCGTACCAAAAAGCCTTATATATTTTTCCATACATATGTGACTAATGCCTAGTATCATAACAAGAAAGATTAAGAAAATCTTTAAACAAATGTCAGAAAGTGATAGGTCCTACTTCTGAGAACTGGCTCAAGTTTAAGTTGACTGCCAGTATCACTACAGTTATACATATACTGCGATTTTTTTTCTAGGTTCCTAGGTCCTTCTCTTTCTACTTTCCTTTAGACACAGGTTGCTAAGAAAAAAAAATTATACTGCAGGAATTTAAAATTAAATGAAGGGGAGAACAACAGCTTAAATAAATACCTCATGTCAGCAAGAAACAACTGGGTTTTACAGAGTTAGGCCTGAATTTGAAATCCAGCTCTATTATTAGACATGTGGCTTTAGAAAAGTAAGTAACCTAATGTCTCTGAAAATGTTTTCATTGCAAACCTGGGATACCTACTACAAAAAGGTTGCAGTGAACATTCAAAGAAATAATGCATGTAAAACAAGCACAGTACCCAAGACATAGTAAAGGCTCAATAAATGCTAAAATAATTACTAGGGAAACATAATCACTGTGAAGTTCACAGTGTCCATGGAAAAAACAATGCAAGCACTCAAGAGAAGACCATCCACTCCTAGCAAATGAGATACAAGATAAATTCCTCATATAGTCAAGTATACCCTAAATAGCCAAAATAATCTTGACAAAGAAGAATGCAGCTGGAAGAATCACATTGACTTCAGACTGTATTACAAAGCTACAGTAATCAAAACAGTATGGTACTGACACAAGAATAGACACACAAATTAATGGAACAGAAGAGAAAGCCCAGAAATAAACCAATGCACATACGGTCAACTAACCTATGACAAAGGAGGCAAGAATATACAATGGAGAAAAGACAGTCTCTTCAATAAGCAGTGCTGGGAAAACTGTACAGCTACATGTAAAAGAATGAAATTAGAACATTCTCCAATACCATATACAAAAATAAACTCAAAATAGATTACAGAGCTAAATGTAAGACCCAGGACATTCTGACATAACTTGCAGCACTATCTTTTTGGATCCATCTTCTAGAGTAAAGGAAACAAAAACTGAAATAAACAAATGGGACCTAATTAAAC